GCTGGCGAGCTCCAGGGCTGATTCTTGAGTCTTGAGACATGGTGCAGCCTGCTCATCCCACAGCCATGATTACCCGAAAGGTCAGGCTTTATCTTTATTTTTATTTATTTATTTATTTATTTATTTATTTATTTATTTATTTATTTATTTATTTATTATTTTTTTATTGGAGTTCAATTTGCCAACATACAGCATAACACCCAGAGCTTATCTGGCCATGTGCCCCCCCTCACCCCATCACCCAGTGCCCATCACCCAGTCACCCCAAGCCCCCGCCCACCTCCCTTTCCACTACCCCTTGTTTGTTTCCCAGAGTTACGTGTGTCTCATGAGGCTTTACCTTTAGACCCATCCAGGCCATGGCTAGTCAGTCTGTGGAATTAGGGCTTATTTGGGGGGAGAAAGTAAAACCTGTTGGTACATGTGGACCTCACTACCCACATGCCAGTCAAGCCACTGCTACTGTCTCACAGGTGGGGACACGTTCTAGGTGTTGCCTTTTGAAACTTCATCTGCATATTCTTTTGTCTCTTCTCCTTTTCTTCTACTTTATTTGGCCACATATTTAAAATATGTTTTGAAAATAAGTTCATTTACTTTTTCTTCAACAGGTAGTGTCACATGTTTTAAAATTTAGAGGCTATAAGAGTGATATAAAAGGACATAGAGTGACACTTTCCCTCCTATCCAGTGATGGTACATGTTTAACAACTTACTTTAAAAAATGTGCCCTCAGGGGATCCCTGGGTGGCGCAGTGGTTTGGTGCCTGCCTTTGGCCCAGGGCGCGATCTTGGAGACCCGGGATCGAATCCCACGTCAGGCTCCTGGTGCATGGAGCCTGCTTCTCCCTCTGCCTGTGTCTCTGCCTCTCTCTTTCTCACTCTGTGTCTTTCATGAATAAATAAATAAAAAAAATCTTTAAAAAAATAAAAAAATAAAAAAATGTGGCCTCATATCACAATATCATAAATCAGATGGCACCAGGTGTTTCTGTTGCCACAGCCCTGGGGCACAGGCCTGCTAAAATACAGCCCTCATTGGGATGCCTGGGTGGCTCAGGGATTGAGCATCTGCCTTTGGCTCAGGGTGTGATCCTGGTCAGGGGGATCCAGTCCCACATTGGACTGTGAGGAGCCTGCTTTTTCCTTTGCCTATGCCTCTGCCTCTCTGTGTCTCTGATGAATATATAAATACAAATCTTAAAAAAAAAGACAGACCTCATAGGATGGATTACAAATGCTTGCCCTCCCATCAACCTTACCACCACATCAACAGGGCTCCTGTATAATAATGTGGATTACAGCTGACAGAACTATAATGATCAGGCTCTATTTAAGAAGCAGCTTCTAGGGGCACCTGGGTGGGTTAAGCATCTGCCTTTGGCTCAGGTCATGATCTCAGGGTCCTGGGATCCAGCCCCACGTCAGGCTCCTGGCTCAGCAGGAGCCTACTCCTCCCTCTCCTCTCTGCTTGTGCTCTCTCTTGCTATTTCTGTCTCTAATAAATAAATAAAATCTTAAAAAAACATGCAATTTCTAGGGAAACTCAAATATTACAGAGGAAACAAAAACAAGGACACTAGAGGAAATGGAGGTCTCTGACGTGTACAGCTGTGGCAAACAGTAAATACAGCCTAACAGCTGGCCAGAAAAACACAAAACTTCACACTGAGGCCTATTTACTTCAGTTCCTTTCACCCAGTATATTGCATATGGGTTTTAAGCAAAAATTATAGGTATAGAGGCAGAGATTTTGGAATTATCATAGTAGGATCTTTAAAGTCACTTTAACAAGCTAAGGGGTCTAATAGAAAAAGTGGATAATACATAAGAACTTCTGTGTCCTCACAAGATGGAAGGGCAAGGGAGGTCTCTAGGGTTTCTTCTTATAAGGGCACTACACTCATTCATGAGGGTCCACTCTCCTGACCTAATCACCTCCCAAAAGCCCCACCTTTAAATACCACACTGAGTGGTAGGATTTAACATATGAATTTTGGGAGGATGCAAATATTCAGTCTATAGCAGATGGTGAAAAAAGATCAGTGGTTGCCTGGGTTTGGGGGGAGAAGTGTAGAGGTGAAGAATAAGGAATTATATGAGTGGTGAAATTATTCTGCATGAAACTTAAGGGTAGATACATGCTTTTATGCATTTGTGAAAACCCATAAAACTATACAATGCTGAATGAAACCTGATGTCAGTTATGGACTTTAATTGATAACAATTTATCAATCTTATTTCCATGATCTGAGTTTTGGGAGTCCTTTATATATTTTATATACAAGTGTTTTGTCAGATATGTGGTTTGGAAATTATTCCCACTATTCCATTGTAGGGATATAATCCAAATGTACTACACTAATGCAAGATGTTAACAATAGGGCAAACAAATTCTGTATCAGATGTGGGAGGTGGGGTATGATGAATATATGAAACTATATGTACTACCTGCTCAATTCTGTAAAATTAAAACTGTATTAACAATAAAGTCTATCAATTAGTTTTTAAAGTCGGAGTCTCATTTTTTTCTCAATTTACAATGAGGAGAGAGGAATAGGTTATTTCTTATATTTCTTCCATCTTTAACATTTATGATTTCCCCCCTTCTAAATACACTATTTTATTATTTTTTTTATAAGATTTTATTTGAGAGAGAGCAAGCTTAAGTACAAGGTGGGGGAGGGGGAGAGGCAGAGGGAGCAGCAGACTCCCCTGCTAAGCAGGGAGCCTGGCATTGGGCTGGATCCCAGGACCCTGAGATCACCACGTGAGCCAAAGGCAGTCGTTTTACCGACTGAGCCACCAAAGTGCCCCTATACTTTATTTTTTGAAGCAGTTTTAGATTCATTGGAAAATAGAGCAGAGAGTAGAGTTCCAATAAGCCTCCTTCCCCCCAGAAGCACAACTTTCTCCACTATCAACATCCGCAGTGATACATGTGTTATAATTCATAAACCTACCCTGACACATTCTAATCACCCCAAATCTGTAGTTTATGGTAGGGTTCAGTCCTGGTGTACATTCTGGGTTTGACCCATGTATGATTATCTGTATTCTTTCTAGAAGATTCTCTCTAGAAACAGAATAGTTTCACTCTTAAGTCAATCAGAAAAGGACAAACATTATATGGTCTTGTTCACTTGGGGAATATAAAAATTAGTGAAGGGGAATAAAGGGGAAGGAGAGAAAATGAGTGAAAATATCAGTGAGGGTGACAAAACATGAGAGACTCCTAACTCTGGGGAACGAACAAGGGTAGTGGAAGTGGAGGTGGGCAGGGGGTTGGGGTGACTGGGTGATGGGCACTGAGGGGGGCACTTGACGGGATGAACCCTGGGTGTTATGCTAAATGTTGGCAAATTGAACTCCAATAAAAATTTTAAAAAGATAAATAAATAAAAATAAAATGTAAAACCACAAATGATGGAAACAAAACAAAACAAAAAAACAAAACAAAAAGAATAGTTTCACTCTCCTAGAAGTCCTCCATGCTCCTACTTGTCCCTCTTCCTTAACCCAACAGACAGCTCTGTGGGAATAGTCCTGCATCTTGATATTTACAGTGATTACACAAGCCTGCATGTGATAAAGTGACAGAACTAGACACAGTTTTCTGGTTTTGATGTTGTGTTGCAAGTTATTTAAGATAAGAATCATTGGGGGAGCCTCGGTGAAGAAGGGTCGACGGGACCTCACTATCTTTGCAGCTTCTTCTGATTGTGTAAGTATCTCAAAATAAAAACCTAAAAAAAAAATAAATAAAAATCTGGTTTTGTTCAAATAAAACAGCATCGAATTTTCTGAGAAAGGTCTGGAAAAAGAGAAAGCCAACTTTCTTAGGAGCTCCTGAGTTATCACGTGGTTGTACGTCATCACTAAGCAAACCTTGGTAGCGTCTATACATCACAAGGCTGGAAACCAGGTGAAGACCCAACTCCTCTGGCCTAGAAGCACCACCTTGCTGCCGCGGTGGCACAGCGCATGCGCAGCTGTGAGGTCCGCGGGGCGCGCTGTGCACCCGGAGGGCCGACGGCCGGTCACACTCGGACACTTCTTGGGGACGTGCCATCAATGTTCAGTTTTCAGCTCATTTTGACTTGGTTAAAAATATGCACTCCAGAGGGAGTATGACCTGCCCGGTGTGACATACTCTAAAACAATCTGGCACGGGGATTTAGATTTGCCAAAACAAGTAAAAAGTAGAAAGGACAAAGCAGTCCTTGCACAGAAACCGCGCCGCCACTGTACGTTAGATCGTTTCTTCGTGTCCCCGCATCCATCTCCGGGAGCGGCGGTCCCCAAGATTCGGCCAACATGAAGTCCAAGACGCTCAGAGCGTTAGCGATTTTGTCCGCCCGTTGTGCAGGGTTTAAGGATGTAGACGGTCACGCGCCCCCGCGCAAGCACGAAAAGGGGCTGAAACCCGAACCCGGCTTCAGCACCCCGCACGGTTTTCGGTCCCAGCAGCCAAGCCCGGGGCGGTCCTCCCGACCTTAGAGCCGCCGCCCCCCTCCCCACACCCCCACTTCGCCGCTCCGGGCCGGCACACAGGAAGGCGGGGCCTCCGCGATCAAAGATGGCGACCACGGGCGCTCTGGGCTGCCCCGGCCGCGACTCGGCAGCCGGAAGTCCTCCGGCTCTTGCCAGCCGGAAGCGGAAGTAAGAGGCGGTCGGCAGTCGGGCTCTTGCTCTGCGAGACCGGCTTGTGAGCCGAGCCGCGGGGAAGGCGCGTGTCGGCCGCTCACTGGCGCAGCGGCTGCGGGTGCCGTCACCGCCCCGCCCCGCCCCGGCGTCGTCGCTGGCATCGTCGTGGACTGAGCGGGGCCCCAGCCTGGGCAGGAAGCGGGACTCGAGCACCGCGTGTGTCGCGGCTGCGCTGCCGGTGACAGGTACCCCCGGCGCGGCGTGGGGAGGTCGGGCGGACGGGGAGAGGGTCTGGGACGCGGGGCGACCCTGTGCCCCGGTCACCTTGAGCTTCCGCTTCTTCCTTGACTCAGTGTCTCCTTCCGCGTGTCGGTCCTTCCCGGATTCGCGAGCGTCCGGAGTTGCCCTCGGTGGTTTTCAGGGAAGGCACCGCTACCGCGAGAGCAGCGGCTCCGAACCTTCCTTGGAGACCGCGTGCCCGAGTGCAGGAGGTGGCGGAAGCGCCCCGACCTGATTGTAGACCACGCCTGACCCCGAGTAGCCGCAGGACTCCGATTGGTGGACGACTGGGTCTTTTTATAGATTCATATTTTCTCTGAAATGAATTCGGGGGATGCCTATTGGCCGTCGCTTTCATTCAAATACGAGGATCCGTTGGCTAGAAATTGGACGATCCAGTTTCACTTTTCGTGGGGCCTGCCAGAAGAGTAAGATCTTGGTCCATCGCCAGTAAATTATGGAGGTGAACTGTTCCTCGTTGGCCAAAATCTCTAGATTGTTTTGCATTTCTTACCAGATTCGAGAACTCGCATATTTTGTCCAGTTGAAGTCCGGAGATCTTCTACCTTCCTGTGCTACACTACGTCGGAAACATTCATCCTGCACTTGCCAGCGAGTTTCAGTGTGATGTTTAAAGACACTTAAAATAGTTGCTTTACGACACCACAGAATTTGGGTAGCCTTTTCACTCGGCTTCCTTTTGACAAAGTTAGTTGACACTTATTTTTTAAAAAAAGATTTTTTTTGAATTTTTATTTATTTATGATAGTCACAGAGAGAGAGAGGCAGAGACACAGGCAGAGGGAGAAGCAGGCTCCATGCACCGGGAGCCCGACGTGGGACTCGATCCCGGGTCTCCAGGATCGCGCCAAAGGCAGGCGCTAAACTGCTGCGCCACCCAGGGATTCCCTAAAAAAAGGTCTTATTTTTGCAGAGAGAGAGAGAGAGAGAGAGAGATAAGTGAGGGCGGAGGGAGAAGGGAAGAGAGAATCTCGAGTGACTCCGTGCTGCGCCTCAAGGGGTGAGGGGCTTGGTGTCAGGACCCTGAGATCAGGACCTAAGTGGGAATCAGATTCCGAGTTTCACTGAACCACCCAGGCGCCTGACAGCTCATTTTTATTAAAGGAAGTAAACATTGCTTCAGTACAGGAGCAAAGCAACTTTACAGTGCACGTTAACTTTTTTTTTTAATTTTTTAAAATTTTTAAGAAATTTTTATTTATTTATGATAGTCACAGAGAGAGAGAGAGAGAGAGAGAGGCAGAGACATAGGCAGAGGGAGAAGCAGGCTCCATGCACCGGGAGCCCGACGTGGGATTCGATCCCGGGTCTCCAGGATCGTGCCCTGGGCCAAAGGCAGGCGCCAAACCGCTGAGCCACCCAGGGATCCCCAGTGCACGTTAACTTAAGGGGAAGATATTGAACTATGTAGAAAATTCTGTTAAATCTTTTCTGCAGTTACCTGTGATAATTTTCATACCAGATGTATAGTAACTACTTTTGTAAAAAAGTTAGATTTGTGTGGTTCACAGCAAATGGTTTTACTAAGAGTTATAAATGCATATCGATTTTAATTATTTGGGAAGTAAATTTATTTCTTAAGGGTGCTTCCTAATATTTTACCTCGCTGTTATGTACGTTGGAGCTCAGATGGGTGTCTATGAACTTGGAGAGTGCAAGTTGGTTTTTTGAGTTGGATAGCATTATCTTCAGTTTAGATAGAATATGAAGTTGGTGATTTAAAATTTTATGCCTTTTCTGTTTCCCAAAAACTGAAAAGTGTTTTCCACGGTACAATTTTTGTCAATATTTCCATTATCTTACTGTAGATCATTAACCAAGAGATAGTCATTAATTTAAATTAAGGAAAATAACCCACAGACTAGATTTTACAAATAATACACTTAGGCCTAGGATTTATTAAAGAATGTTTTAATTTACCCACCATGCCACAAGCATTATGCTTGTGATCATGCAATGCCACATTGTAAATTCTGACAGCTATTATTTCTCACACTTTTTATATTAATTAGCAACATTTAAAGACCACTAGTGTCAGAGTGATAAGATTCTCATAAAATGAAGGCATTGTCAAACAAAAGGTCACTTCAGTGAAGTTCTTACTTATGCTTCTCTAAAACAGTCTTTCCCTGTAGTTTTACCTGTGGCTTCAAAGATGTAGGGTTTGGGTACGAAAGCTCTTTTTTTTCCGTCTTTTTTTTTTTTTTTTGGAGGGGGGGTTATCTTAATGGGTGCTATATCTTGCCCCAAGAACTCTATCTCTTTTTAAACAGTTCAAGGGGATTTCTAGGTAAATCTTGGTGCACAGAGTTTTCGTTTTAACCATCCTTAAGTCCTAGGCTTTTTGTAGCATCTTTCTTCTTGGTGTCACACTCCTATTTGTTTTCCTTCCTTCTTTAAGGAATGAAGTCTGTATTCGTTTATTTCATTTCGAGTACCTCCTATGTTCCAGGCATTATGCTAGGCATGTGACTCTGACAGACAAAACTCCCTGCTCTTGAGGAGCTCACATTCTGTCCCCGAAGCAAGCCTGAATACAGATCTGTCAGGCTGGTTGGTCAGTTCACTTTGGTCCCAGCTTCAGGGCTGGCATGCTTGGTTTCACGTTGAAACTGTGCCTTCCTCATCTACCTGTATCCCAAGGACTCTGCCCCTAGAAAGTCCTTGGATTTGCCTTGGTTCTCACAAGAAAGCTCTTTGCTCAGTCTGGGTCCTCACAGTATGGATTCTTACCCTTCCAAAACCAGAGAATCGGGAGATAGCGTGATAAAATTGTAAAAAACAGGCAGGCATTTGTGGATTCCAAGCATTGCTCTTCATTAGGCAAGTTACTCAGCCTCTCTGAGCTTCCATTTTCTTATTTTTAAAGTGGGAATGAGAGTGTTCCATTATGCAGCATAGTTATAGAATATCTACTGTTTGCCAGGCAATGGTCTACTTGTTGTGGTGAACAAAGTGGACATGGCTGCCACCGGTCAGGGACAATAGTTTCCTGGATAGTTGTGTGGAAGGACTAGATATTATGGTATTTGCAAAGCACCTGACCCAGTGCTTGTCCCAGGCAGTTGCTCAGAAATGCTAATGTTCCCTAGTGGACCTTTTGTCACTCCCTGTTCCCTTACCACTCTGTGCAGCCTGCCTGGGGTTGCTGGCAGTGCTGTCCAGTTTCCAGTCCAGAATCATCACTTTTGGGATTACACATCTAGGCCCCTTTGGGACAAATTGTAAACAGAACTGTAGCACAGTACTGCTGGAACATAGTTCATGTATTCTCTTTCCAGTTTAGAAGTTTCGTGACTTTGGGGAGGATTTTTTTCCCCCCTAACCACAGAAAATGTATTTCCAAGACATCTTTTTTGAGCCCATGTGATAACGATGCATTCTTATTCTATAATTTAGAAGGCGGTTTCTTATGAGAACATCTTTTACTAGAACAGTTAATTTGGTAGAGTACTTGGCACTACACAAAGTAATTTTCATGTTGCTTTTTCATTCTCACAGTGTCCTGGTGTGGCAGATTCTGATATTCCTATTTCAGAGTCTGGGAGTCTAAGGGCCACAGGAAGTTACTAGGGAACTTGCTTATGGTTGAACTGCTAGTAAGTAGCAAACACAGTAATTTATCACAAGTCCCTTACTTTAAAAGGTTCTCTCTTTTCACTAACCAAATTTTTCTATCATGCAGAACAGGTTTCTGAGGCTGCAGTCCAGGGACCTGTAGAGGAGGGTGTCTAAGAGTTCTTGAGTGGTCTGAAATTATATGTAAAAGTTTGGGTCTTTGCTTGCCCCTCTGCAGGAAATGTGTAAGTTTTGTTATGTTCTGAAAGGGCCACCCTCCCCACTCAGACCTCCCCAACCCCCACTCTAGCCAGAAATCACTGCTAACAGGTTTCAGTGTCAGGGGTCTAGTTGGTTAGCCCTAGGCTTTATAAATGTTGATTATTTATATATTTGTGCTTGTTTATAAATGGGATGTTAATATTATCAGTTAATTAAATCAATTAAGTGGGCAGTGCTTGAACTAAAGACTCTTAAAAGTAACGTTTCTATTTGGTTTAATTTATTTTTCTTTTGACCATTTGTTCTTTAGAGATATTTTGTGTTACTGAAGCTGGATGTTGGCACAAATAAATGTTAATGCTTTTTGTAAAAAGAGGATACTGACTGGTCCTACAAACAATAGCTTTTCCAACCAGTATCTCAAGAAATTGGGGTGAATCTGGGGTGAGCCTTACCAGACGTTAGCCTGCAGAAGCACAACTTTGGTTTGGTGTTTCCCACATATTTATGTCCTCTTTGGGTTTCCATTAAGTGGGTGGAACTTAGATGCTGACTTATCTAGTCCAGGGGAAGTCTGATTAGGGTTCTGTCAGGCAGACTTCTGAGATGAAAAATCAGACCAAAGAAGCCTAAAGCTAGAGGCCTTTTTCTTTTTTTTTAAGATTTTATTTATTCATGAGAGACCCACAGAGAGAGGCAGAGGGAGAAGCAGACTCCCTGCAGGGAGCCCAATGTGGGACTTGATCCCGGGACTCCAGGATCATGCCCTGAGCCAAAGGCAGGTGCTCAACTGCTGAGCCACCCAGCTGTCCCTGGAGGCCTTTTTCTGAAATGATCTGGACACCTCAGTATGCTTGAGGAGGTTACTGCTGGGAGTTAAGGAGGCAATGGCCATGCCAATTTACCATCAACCCCAACTTCCTTATTTTGTAGATAGGGGCCCATTGAGTTCTAACATTTCTTCATTCTGTACCTTTGCTTTTACATTCAAGGCCCATCTGTAAGCTCCCTAAGGCTCCAGTGACCAAACTGTGTAGCTTAGAGCAATGACAGTTTCTTGTCTGACAGTTTTGGATGCCAGACATTCTAAATAAAGGTGTCACAGGATCATGTTCCCTCAGAAGTCTGTAGGGGAAGGTCTGTCTTTGCTTCTTCTAGCATCGGCCAGCTCCAGATAATCTCTGGTTTGCAGTATTCCAGGGGCTGCCCCTGTCTTTCCTGGCATTCTCCCTGTGTCTCTTCACATGGTGTTCCCACTGCATGCCTGTCTCTCTCTCCACATTGTCCTTTTTTTGTATCACCAGTCATATTGGACCCACCCTAATGACCTCGTTTTAATGAGATTACCTCTGCTAAGACCCTATTTCCAAATAAGTTCATATTTCAATGTGCTGGGGTTAGGACTTTGGGAGGACACGATTTAATATCCATCATTTACATTTTAATCTACCTCAGCTTTATTTACTCTCATGCTTTGTAAAGTATGATTGTGTGCAACCACCTGGCTTTTATACCTGTGTATAGCATAGACTCCCCAGTAAATTAAATAGAGTCTTTGTAGGAAAGAGTATATGATCTATACACTTTTAGTTATGTATTAGTCACTCAGCAAGTTGAAACCATGGAGATATTAGGTGCTGTTAAATTTCAGAAGCATTTCCATTTCTTTAATTTTCATGTTTATTTTGTGTCTTTAAGTATTAAGATTTAAATTTAAACATTTCTTTGTAGCAAAACCTTTTTTTTCCCCCCTTTTTAGGGGTTTGCAATAAAATGGGACTTCTGATTGTATTCATTGGACTATGGCTGTTTTCCTCAGTAAAGGCAGATTCAAAAGCCATTACAACTTCTCTTACGACAAAATGGTTTTCCACTCCATTGTTGTTAGAAGTCAGGTAAGAAGATGTCTTTTTTTTTTTTCTTTCATGTATTTAAGTAATAATGTAGGATCTGCTAGTGAGTATTCAGGAGGTTTTTTTAGGCAGTAAGATTGTCATCATCACATGCATTTGGTCAGCGCCTCTTTCGTTGTGCACTGTGCTGTATGCTAGTCAGAGGCTGTTAGAATATAGAATATATCGGTAGGATAGGATAATACTAATTCATAGAGATATTTAGTGACTTCTTTGGACAAATATATTGAATTGGTTACATTATCTTCTCAGAAACGTGTATCTGTGGTAATAAAGGAAGAGTTATACTTAAAGGAATTTTTCAATTTATTTGAAAAAAGTTTTAAGAGGTGTTTAATAAAAGAAGGGAGCTTGGCAAGATGAGGGAGAGAGGGCATGTGCTTTCTAAGAAGTTGAAAGAAGACCTCGAGATACAAGAGCACAGAGGGGAGGCTGAGGACACAGCTGGATTTTATCTAAGATGTACGTGTTCTATTTTTTTTAACATCTCCAAAATTAAGAGACATTTTAATGAAATCAAGATGTTACCTTAAAATTAAAATTGGTAGTGTTTTCCTTTTTAGTGTTTCATAAAAACAATAATATGTCTTAAAATTGATGGTTATCTTCAAATCAATAAAATACAATATAGTCAATGATTTCTTGGGAGATTTTGTATTCCAAGTGTATTTTTTAGTTAATGTTTATAATATAATTAACCAGATACCCCTCTTTTGGTCAGTTTTTTGTTTATAGAGAGAAACTTATTTTTATTGTATCTGAAATAATATATAGCTAGGACTTGTAGAGAATAGTCCTAAAGTATAAATTTAGGTAGATTGAATGTCAAGCAGTTGGTAAATCTCAGATTCTGATAGTGCTAGAAATTTGAACTGTTGAATTACTTTACTTAATTTTGGTCTGTCTTTGTACTCTTCAACTTAGAATTATGTCTTCTAACATTTCCTCCTTAATCCCTTAGAAAAATGTGAATGAAGAGTTTTTGTTATGTTGACTGTAGTTATGAACAGCTGCATCTCCTAAGGAAACAGCTTCATTTGGTATTGATAAGAAGGCCAGTGGGAAAATAGGACTTGTAGGACCTGATTTTGGCTTGCTGAGGAGCCTCATGGGCTTTTTGCTGATCAGCGCTCTCTGTGCCTCCCTTTTCTCAGCAATAAAATGGCCAAAAGAAAGAATTCCTACTGCATTTATTTCATAGCAGGGTTACAATCTGATCAATGGGTTCCAGTATCAGAACTTTATTAGATAGATGATAGTTTATAAAAGTTAAGTGACCAAAGGTTGTTTGACATCTAAACTGCCTGAGCTGGGACTTAACTGAACTCTTTTCCCCCCAATCCTATTTTGGATGATTTGTCTGGTATAAATCTAAGTGTTTGAGATTTACTATCACTTTCTAAATAATTTTGTGTAGTTAACTGTAACAGATGTTTTATAATACTCTGCTTGACATTCCTTAGTTCCACTCGGTTGTTCTCACACTAATTTTTTGGTTTTTGTCTCAGAAGATTCTTATGGTACATACTTAAGGGACTTTTGAAAAAGTATGTTAAAACTGTCAGCCTTAATCCACTTTTTTTTCTTGTTTCTTTGATCTCTGTGAAGTGAATAGTGTATACCACTTCCTTCACCAACTTTCCTCTCACAAACATTGCCCCTTTTCATAATTTCCTGGCCATTTGCCATTTTGGTTGGTTATTTTTAGTTTTCTTCTGTGGCTATTTGCAGACAGTTTGCCAAGGTAATGGGACATCTAGGTAACTCAGAAATAAGTTGTGCATATTTGAAATCCTCAATATTTACCTCCAGAGTTAGCTGAGGCCACCATTCTTCCCTCCCAGGTCCATGGCAGACATCAGTGGCGGATCACAGCACCGTCCATCTGAGTGAGGGTGATGGGACAGAATATTTTTCTACATATTGAGGCATGCGGCTACCACAGATATTTTGCCTTCCCTGTATCTAGCCCTTAGGGACTAAAAATATTCCCATGTATATTTTTAGATTAGGCATGATCCTATTGAAGCGGTTGTAGCTTTCTGGTTGTTCATGAAGTGATACATATTTAATTGAAGTAGAACACTGAATATGTTTTGAACAGCCATAGTGACTAACAGAAATATTGTATAAGTAAAGTAGTATTAAAATTGAAACCAATAATCATTTATTGAGCACTAGATACTATAATGACCCAAAAATGCAGCATGATAGAGATAAATCAAATAGATTTGAGTTTGCATTCCAGAATTTTCATTTGCTAGCTCTGTGCCCTTAAGCAAATCAGTAACCTCTCTGAGTTGTAGTTTTATTCTAAAAATGGTTATAACTCAGAATGGCTTTGAGGCTTTAAGGACATGGGTGAATATGCCAAGCATAGTGCCTGTTACATAGTATGCCCTCCTTAAATATTCATTTCCCTTCCCTTTCTAGTTCTGTATGGAAGGAAGACGAGTTCTGATCTCCAACAACTTTGGAAATCTAGAAAACAAGTTTGCTACCAGATTTATGCTATCTGGTGGACATTCAGGTGGTTTATAGTTTTTTTTTCTTTTGCCATAATTGAAAACTTTTTATTGTGATCTTTCAAAACATTTGTAAGTGGAGAGAGTGTGGTACGTATAATGTGCTCTCCCTCTACCTGTCACCCAGTTTTAGCAATTATCAACTGAAGTCCAGTAATCTATCACCACCACTGCCACCCTCCTCCCTTATCCTACTGGAATATTTTAAAACAAATCCTAGACATCATATAATTTCATCTGAAAAACTATAGATGTTTTACTCAATGGAATAAGAAGCTAAAAAAAAAAAAAGAAAAGCAAACAAACTGAATTATATTATAAACAGATGGCAGCGTTCCTTTTAATAATATCTTGTATTGTTCTTACTGTTCTTGGATTAATTCAGTGGATCTAGTAATTAATTTTCTTAAGACTGTTTGAAACTTAGATGTCGTAAGACTTATTTATGCAGTGGGATGAAGAAGAATGTGTGTTTCAAGTTTTCTTGTAATTATATGAAGAGCATATATGTATTTGTACATGGCCTTTACATGGAGGGCCTTAGCTTCAGTGAATTCTTCTCACCATTACAACCTTTGAGTGTATTATCCCTTCCCCCTCTTCCACAAACTTATCTTGTAGACGCAGCTTTAATTAATGAATTTAGTGTTTATTTGCATATTACAATCTATTTGTCTTAGTATCTGTTTTCTTAGACCACAAGCTATTATAAGGCTAGTATGTTTTTCTTAGTTACTAGAAAGCCTAGAAAAATTCCACATTCAAGGAGGTACTAAAGTATTTAATACATTATGATAATGGGTATTTTCAGAAACCTATTTAGAGAGGCTGTGTATTACCAGGAAATGTTTCTTATTTTTCCCATATTTCTGTGTCTAGCTGTGGAGTAGAGTGAGAGTTGTACATCCCAGTGTTGACAAGTAATGGGAAAGTCTTCCTTTGGCTAGGTAAGCTGAGATCCAGATCTGTAGTTTGCTTTAAGAAGTGAAAGATCACGCCTACATTGGTATTCTATCTCAGAGAAGAGAACCAATTGACATGAATCAATCAGTACATGTGTTTTCTTTTAGGGATTTTATACTCTCCAATGAAAGGAAATTTAGAATGGCCATTATTTTAGATCTGTAAAGTCAAGAAAAAATGAAAGTGGTATTAAGTTCTAAGAACTTTATTAAACTGAAATTTGGTAATCTTGAAAATTTGGATTTATGGATGTTAAAAGATTACAACATGCTGCCTTTAGTCTCCTAGAGATTTTTCTAGGGTTCATGTTTTCCTTGGGAGAATCTTAGGCAAAACATATTTTTTTGTTCTTTGTGAAGTCTTTCAGAAAATAAATGAGAACTAGTACCAGAATTATCAGTTCTTAATTCTGCTTCTACTACCAGCAGCATTATCACAAAACAGGGTTTCATAAGCTTTATTTATATTGGGACTCCCTTCTTGTTACATTAATCCAGGTTTCTTAAGGAATATCTATTAAGCTATTAATAGAGTAAGTGAATAAGTTACTAATAAGCTAATTAGTTATAAATAGCCAATACGCTAATAAGACTTGCTTATCATTAGGATATATATTATACATGCTGGTGTATAATATATGTTATAAAAGCCAAACTGTGGACATTTGTAAACTTAAAAACCTCTTTTTGCTCTCTTTTGTAATGTAACTTATATTAGAGGATTTTATTAAGTTATTTTATTTCTGATATTTCCTCCTTTTTCTCCCAGTGAGTTTTTAGCAGAAGACAGTCAAGAGAAATTTTGGAATTTTGTAGAAGCCAGTCAAAATATTGGATCATCTGATCATCACGGTAAAATTGAAGCAAATGCTTCTTTGACTTTGGTATCTGGGAAAATATTAGGAAAAAACAGTCTCAAAAAAAAAAAAAAAAGGAAAAAACAGTCTCTTTCATAGTATTTGTGGCATGGCAATTAATGGAAAACGTTTTTATTTTTAATGACTAGAGCTGTGATGGTAGCCCGCAGAGCCAATACAAACTAATACTTACTTCTGAAGCCGTTTATAACTTCTCCTATAAGTACTGTTTCTTCCCCACTTTGTCTTTGTTCTTTTGTGTTCTTTTATTAGAAGTGCTGTATAAATGTTTTGTAGAAGTCAAATTCATTTAAAATCATTTAGTATTAACATAATTACCATCAGTTTTGATTCCCTTTTTCTTTTGTTATTAATTAACTATACAACTTATCTGTTATCTGTTAGGTTTATTATCATTAATTTAGTGCCATTCAAAATGTTTCCCGTTAAGCCTGCCAGTCACCCACAACTTGAGTGTCAAGGTATCAAATTCATGACAATGTAAACTGTATCACTTGTTTACAGTTTATGATGTGCATTCATATTTTCTACCTCAATATAAGCTTTATAGAGTGTAAACATTACTAATCAAAGATGGGGATATATGGGTAGCTAAAACCTTGAATATTATATTGACAGGCTTTATTGAAGAGCAGATGTATGAAAACAGTGTGACTGCTATTAATATTTAACTGAATTTGTTTTTAACTTTGATTTTTATTAGAAATAATGCAGGTTTTAAAAGTCGAATCTGAATTTTTTTGTGATATTAGTATCTAAAGGTTTGAACAAACATCTGTAAGTTTGAGTTACATAATTTAGAGTCAATTGGAATTGTTTGCATTGTCAAAAAAATCGTTTTACTTTTTGTTTACAATTTCATAAGCAAATTTATTGAAATGGGTTTTATAATGAAATTTGAACTCTGACATTTAAAATGAAATTTGCTCAATTTAAATGATAATGGTTCTTGGTTAAAGTTAGGGGGTTATGATTTCTTGGAAGTGATCATAAAAGTATGTTAAATATTTTATTTGAAATATTCATTGTTCTACCACCCAAAGGTGTTCACCATTAACATTCTGGCAACATTTTAAGTATTTCTTTCTGTCGTCTTTTTCTGCTTAGAAGATGCTAATGCATTGTCAGACCTTTCATATGCTTTTTAAAATGTTAATTATATTCCTTAAAAATTTTTTTGATACATAATATGTGATTTAATAGTCAAGCTTATGAAAGGCTTAGACAGAAAAATCTTGTTCTTTACTTGTCCCCCCTCCTGTTTCTCCCCTGCTTTTTATAACTGTTTAACCTTCAGTGTTTTCTTTTTTTTTTTAAGATTTTATTTATTTGTTCATGAGAGACATAGAGAGAGAGGCAGAGACACAGGCAGAGGGAGAAGCAGGCTCCATGTAGGGAACCTGACGTGGGACTCGATCCCAGGTCTCCAGGATCCTGCCCTGGGCTGAAGGCGGTGTTGAACTGCTGAGCCACCGGGGCTGCCCAACCTTCAGTTTTTTTAAACAACAAATACGTACATATGTATTCTTAGTTTTCATTATTTCTTAGAGTAAAAAAGATAGCTTACTATGTATAGTTGACCTTTGAATTAACGCATTTGAACTGCATGGGTCGACTTATACTCGGATTTTTTTGGTGTGTGACTACAGTATGGTACTTAAATGTATTTTCTCTTGTTTATGATTTTCTTAACATTTTCTTTAGCTTTATTGTAAGATTACAGTATAAAATTATATATATAACATATAGAATGTGTGTTAATTGACTTTTATGTTACTGGTATAGCTTCCTGTCAACAGTAGGCTGTTAGTAGTTAAGTTTTTGGAGAGTCAAAGTTATACGTGGACTTTTGACTGTGGGGCAGTTGATGCCTCTAAACTATGTTCAGGGGTCAACTGCACGTTGTTTTGTACCTTGCACTTTAAGAATATATCCTGGGGATTTTTTCATACTGGTACATGTAACTTTTCTCCCCTCTGATAGTTTGTTTCAATTGTTTAAATATGCTTCTCCCCAAACTATCATTTCCTTAATATCCTTTAATACTTTGTACTTTTCATTATGCAGCTCAGTTTTGTTGGGTTATTAAGTAATAAACATGTTAGCATTGGGGATACAAAGATACGTTTGAGCCCCTCTTGGGGCTCAAAAACTATTTGGGGAGGGGTGGATAGTGAATAAATAATTTAGTATATGATGTGATAAGTGAAAGAGGTAAGCAGAGAAATATTAAGGGACCAAAGAAGAGATGTACTTGGTCCAGTGAGGCATGGGGTAGGGATTGGGAGTGACTTTGCAGAGTAAGTGATGTCATAACTGAATTCTTCCAGTGGAGATTAAGTAGAAGTTAGTCATCCAGGTAAGTGGGACACTTGCAGTCCAGGTAGAGGGAATAGTGTGAAAAAAGGAAAGAAGAGAGGAAGAGTCCAATTACTTTGTGTACTCTAGGGAATTCTAAGCATTTGCCAATAGTTCAAGATAGGATAGTGGTAAAATTTTGCCATCATATACCTTTGTAACACATAGCTTTATACTTTGTGAACTATCTTATTTGGGTATGTCTAGTCCTATATAGTTACTTTGGTTAATTTGTTCCTTTGACAGGTACTGATTATTCCTATTATCATGCAGTACTGGAAACTGCATTTCAGTTTCTGTCCCCTCTACAGCAGAATTTGTTGAAATTTTGTCTGTCCCTTCATTCTTACTCGGCTACAATTCAAGCCTTCCAGCAGGTAAGTTCAGTGCTTAGAGATAACAGTATTTTTTAGGGGTTGTATAACATGATGATTGGATATATTGGGGTTGTCCTGGCATTGTGTTACAGAGCTATAATTTTTCTGCGTGAAATTTCTGACGATTTATGATTTGTTTATAAATAGAAAGCAAAGCTGACATTAGATCTTCAGATCACAGGTGTTTTTAAATAAAAAAACATAATTTGCACTCATTTTCATTTAAGAAGAAAGAAAAAATATCCACACAAAGACGAAACTACCAGACTTCATTTATACAACACAGCATAGGAGGTATAGTCTTGCTAAACCAATTGACTGTAAATCTGGATCACAGCCTTTAGAACCAAAGTTCACAGGAAAAAAAAAAGTTCATAGGAAATACAGGGGATGGGAAATAATGAAGCAGGATCACAGGGGTAATAGGAAAATCCAGAATGTAGGAGACTTTGTAGTAAAATAGTCTATTACTTCAACAAATATGTTATGAGGAAAGAAAAGAAGGAAGGAAAAACTTCAAGGGAGACTTAAAATATGTATCTGCTTAATGCAGTGTGTGGAATTTGAGTTGAACCAGACTCTCCTTGTAAAAAAAAAAAAAAAAAAGAGACTCAAAGATGAGCACATACTGATCATAAATTTGATGTAAAAGAAATGTTAATTTTAATGATGTTAAAATGTTAATCACTATTTTATTATAAAATAAAGTAGGCATAGAAAACCACTCACATGAATTATATTGTGTAATGAATTTTTGCAAAGTGAGCACTTGTAATTTTCCCCCAGATCAAGAAGTAGAACTTAGCCAGGCCCTCTGGCAGCCTACCCTTCTTGTGCTCTTCTCTCATTACAGCCACCTTTCACCCTCAACAAGAACTACTTTATCAACCTCTGTTGAAATGACTTGCTGTATTTCTTTATCATTATGTTGTCTAAGAGTGCATCTCCATACAGTAGTTTAGTATTGCTCAGTTTTAAAAATTTTGATAATGTTTTTGGTGGGTGGTGCTGAATTTATAGGTTCTTCCTCTCTTTTCTTTGAGTGACACGAACTGTTGGCCTTGTAAATTTTTTCAGTCTGTATTTTGGTGATCACATACTCATGATGCAGTTCAGCTTTTTTTGTCCTCTGTTTTTTGCAAATTGGCAGCTGATCCAGAGGCTCAATGAGAATTGTGTTTTTTTTCCCCCTTCGGCAAGTGTATAGGTAGTACACTGTTTCATTAGGAGACCTCTTTGATTTAGCAGCCATTACTGCTCTGTGCTTAATCTATTAATTCTTTAGGTTGTAAAGTGGTGCCTCTCATTCTTGTGTTGTTGTTCCTGGAATATGGATTTAAAGAGGTGCCTCTCCTCACCTGGTACTGTTCACATGGGGATGGCAGAGTACATGCTTGATTCCTTCCTGTTGTTTACCAGGTTTTTGAATGAGTTTGATTCACTAGCATCTTTTTATTTTAACCATTTAAGTTTTTTAAAAAATTGTTTGTTTATTTATTCATGAGAGACAGAGAGAGAGAGAGAGAGAGAGAGAGGCAGAAACACAGGCAGAGGGAGAGAAGCAGGTTCCATGCAGGGAGCCCAATGTGGGACTCAATCCCAGGTCTCCAGGATCACGCCCTGGGCTGAAGGCGGCAGCGCTGAACCACTGAGCCACCCGGGCTGCCCAACCATTTAGTTTTTTGCTTCAACTTTTTTTTTATTGTGGGAAAATGTACATAATGTAAGATTTATCATCTTGGCTGTTAATTTAAGTGTACAGTTCAGTGGTATTCAGGACATTATTGTTGTACAAGCATCACCACCATGCATCTTCAGAACTCCTTTCATCTTGCTACACTGAAACTATATACTTCTCAAATAATAACTTCCCATCCCCCGTACCCACCCTTCCCATCCCTGGTAACCATCATTCTACTTTTTATCTCTGAGTTTGCCCATTTTGAATACCTCCTTCAAGTGGAATCATAATGGTGTTTGTCTTTTTGTGTCTGGCTGGCTTATTTCACATAGCATAATGTTTTTAAGGTTCATCCATGTGTGGCATGTATCAAAATTTAATTTCTTTGTATAACTGAATAATATTCCATTGGATGTATAGAACACATTTGATTATGTATGTCCTCTGTTGATGGACATTTGGATTGTTTCTGGCTTTGGCTATTGTGAATAATGCTGCTTGGAACATTGGTTTATGACTCTGTTTTCAGTTCTTTTGGGTGTGTACAAAAGAGCGTAATTCATGGATCCTGTGGCAATTCTGTGTTTAACATTTTAAGAATTACCAAGCTTTTTCACAGCAGCTGCACAATTTTACATTATCACCAGTAATGCTCCAGGATTTCACTTTTTCCACATACTTCCCAACACTTTATTTTCTGTGTTTTTGATAATAGCTGCCCTCATGGATAGGAAGTTGTGTCTTGTGGTTTTGATTTTCATTTCCCTAGTGACCAAGGATGTGGAGCTTTTGTCCTTATTGGCCATCTGTGTATCTTCTCTGGAGATTTGCCCATTATTTGTTTTTACCTGTTTCTCAGGTAGATTATTTGTTTTTGTGTTGTGGTAGGGTTTTTTTTTTTTCATATACATTGGGTTTTAGTCACTTACCAGATATATGCTTTTCAAATATTTTCTCATGTTCTATGGGTTGCGTTTTCACTGTTGATGGTGTTCATTGATAGACAAAATTTAAAATTTTGATGAAATCTGATTTATCTATTTTTTCTTTTGTTGCCTGTGCTTTTGGTATTATATCCAAAAATCATTACCAAATCCAATGTATGAAACTATGTTTTCTTCTATAGTTCTGTAGTTACTGTATTAGCTCTCAAGTTAGGTCTTTGATCCATTTTGAATTAATTTTTGTATATGGTATAGAATAAGAGTCCATCTTCATTCTTTTGCATGTAGATACCTAGTTTTCCCAGCACCATTTGTCAAGAGACTGTTCTTTTTCTCTGGAATGGTCTTGGCACCCTTGTTGAAAATCAGTTGACTGTATAATATGAGGGTTTATTTTTGGAGTCTTTATTCTATTTCATTGGTTTATATATCTTTATTTATGAAAGTACTATACTGTTTTGAATGCTGAGCTTTGTGTTAATTTTGGAAAACAAAGTATGAGTCTTCTACTGAGTCCTTTTGATGCCATGCTGGTAGTCTTTGATTGCTTCCTTCCTATCTGATATGTAAGTAGTTTCAGATTTATCTTGTATATCTCTGGCCCTAGATTTGAGATCAGTTATTTCTCTAAGAGGCTAATTAAAGTTCTTTGTTTATCTGTTTGTTGTTTTCTTTGGTGGAAATGGTATTTTAAGAGCCCAGTGAAAGCACTAGGGGTATTCATTGCAAATGGGTAGGTCATTGTTCTTAGGCCTTTTAAATGGATAGAGGTAGGAAGTGACTACATGTATCTAAAGGCAAAATATATAAAGCTATGTATAGATGAAATACTTCATGAGTTCATACTGATGTTTCCAATTCAAATTTAGGACTACTTTGTTATATCTTTATTCCTCCACACTAAGAATATTAGTTCTCAAAGTTATAAGGGATGATAGAATTAAACTATCTTATGGTTTACTTGTTTTATCCACATTACATACGCTGTAACCTTAATAACAGTAGTCATACCATTTCCACAATTATGTTTCCTTTCCCCTTCCCTTACCCTTTTCCTTTCCTTTCTGTTCTGTTCCATTTTTGAGTAGGCTTCATGCTGGGTGTGGAGCCCAAGGCAGGGCTTGAACTGAGATTAAGACCTGAGCTGAGAACAAGAGTCAGACTGAGAAGCCAACTAGGCGCCTCCACAATTACATTTCCTATAAACAGTTAAAAATTTTTCTTTTGGCATAATGATTGCCATTTTCCCTTCTCCCATTTAAAAAAATGAATATATTCTACCTAGAACATAGATATTTCATATTATACTTTACCCTTCAACACTCATTTAGTCGTAGTTCTATAAATAATTTATATCTTAATGCTCCCCACTAGTCCTTTTGCCACATGTCTCTAGTCAGTTGGCTTTTCTGATTCTTGCTTCTGGTAGATTGCTCAAGAAGGGCTCAGGGGAACAATGTTTCCTCAGTTTTGCATGTTTGTATATGTTAGATATAAAATCCTTAGTTTATATCTTCTTTCTTTGGCTAAAACCAATTTTCTTTTCTTTTCTTTTTTTCTTTTCTTTTTTTTTTTTTCTTTTCTTTCTTTTCTCTCTTTCTCTCTCTCTTTCTCCTTTCTAGATTTTACTTATTTATTCATGAAAGACACACACACACAGAGAGAGGCAGAGACACAGGGAGAGGGAGAAGCAGGCTCCATGCAGGGAGCCTGATGCGGGACTGGATCCTGGGACTCCAGGATCGCACCGTGGGCGGAAGGCAGGCACTAAACTGCTGAGCTACCCAGGGATCCCCCTGAATTTCATTTTCTTTTAGCATAAAATCTTCCTGCAGAAAGTTGTATGATAATCTAATTTTCTTTCCCTTAAAGTCTCTTGCTCTTTTTGTCTAGAGGCCCAAAGAATTTTTAATATTTCTTGAGAGTCATAATTTATTAGAATAAAGCTTACACTTTATAGTTGGAATATAGCTTATACTAAATTCTAGTAAATTAAGACTTTGAAGAAATTTGAAGAGTGATTATTCTGGGTTAATATTCCCAGGTATCCAGTATGTTCTTATTAATATAGAGTTTCAGATCATTTTTTATTTCAAGAAATTTTTTTAAAAACTTAAAATAGTTTGTTTTAGTCCCTTGTTTTGGAATTCATATTATCTCTATGTTGAATTTTTTTTTGCTTAGTTTCATTGTCACTTTCTCTGAATTGCTTTCTCTTTTCTTTCTTTTTTTTAAAAAGATTTTATTTATTTATTCATGGGAGAGACACACAGAGAGAGAGATAGGCAGAGACAGGCAGAGGGAGAAGCAGGATCCATGCAGGGAGCCCAGTGCAGGTCTGATCCCTGCACCCTGGGGTCACGCCCTGAGCCAAAGGCAGATGCTCAACTGCTGAGCCACCCAGGCATCCCTATTTCTTTATCATTTTAAAATATTTTCTCTTTTCATCTTCTGTTTTTCTTAAATCATTACTTCTCATGTTTGTTTTTGTGCCCCTTCTAGTTTAATTTTCATTTCTACGCTGATTTTTCTTTTACAAATTTTCTCTTGAGTCTTTCACCTTCACCTCACTTCTGAGTTTTTCTAATTCTGCCTTAGGTTCTTAAAGAAGAACCTAAAAGCAGAATCATGTCTAATACGATTTTCTTGATATATTTTAACTTGCTTGAAATAGTAGTTCATATCTATTTTTTTAAGATTTTATTTATTTATTCATGAGAGACAGAGAGAGAGAGGGAGAGGCAGAGACACAGGCTCCATGCAGGGAGCCCAACGTGGACTCGATCCCGGGTCTCCAGAATCAGGCCCTGGGCTGAATGTGGCACTAAACTGCTGAGCCACCCGGGCTGTCCCCACATCTGTTTTTTGGCTGTGTATTTCTGACATGGCTTTATTGAGTATAGCTATGCTGTCCAATATGGTAGCCAACAGCCATGTGTCAGTATTTAAATTTAAATAAGTTAAGATTAAATGAAATAAATTTAGCTCTTCAGTTGCATCAGCCAAATTGTAAGTGTTTGATGGTCACTGGTGGCAAGTGCTACCACATTGGACAGTGTGGATATAGATTTCTGTTGTTGCTGAAATTTCTCTTGTACGGTCTTCATCTATAAAGATAAGGATGTTATTCTATTTCTCCTTCCAATCTTTTCTTAGCTTTGTGAGGGATTTGACATTGGGACTTTTCTGCTCCTTCTGATGTGAAATGGGTTTTCCTGTACTTTTAAAGGTTGGCATGGCTCCCTCTTCTGTTTATTTTAGGTAGTGTTAAAAAAACATGGGCTTTAAAAAAAATGGTGGTACGGTTTTTGAGATTTCCTCTGTTCCCCTCCTGCACTTTCATTGGACTTTCTCTTTAGTTGTCTTAATATATCTCTGCTATTCAAGTTTTGTTGTACCCTCAGCAGCTTCTCCTTACAATGGGGCCCTGTCCTAGCAGGTACTCCTAGCTTGTGAGTTTTGAGAGTTCAGAGCAGCTAAATTGCGCTAAGCCCTTTAACCTTTTCATGGGCCTCCTTGTGCTCACCTGGTACTAGATTGAACAAATGCGTTGGCCCACAATACTTTGCAGTGAAAACCTGTTGGCTGTTTTGTTTTTTGTTGTCAGGATCATCAAAATCTCTGTTATTAAAACATCCCTCTGCTTCCTTCTCTATGGCATCTGATACCTGCAGGTCTTATGTCATAGGGATATTTTTTCGCATTCATTTTGTCATAATGTGATCCGTTGACTATCTAGTTGCTCTGTTTTAATGAGGGAGCTTGGGAAAATTGAAAAACTATTGCCAGTTGCCATCTATGCAGAATTTTATTCCTTTTTAAAAGTGTGATAATGAGGTATTTAAAAAAAACTTTTATTGAGATAAACTGAACATTACAAATGAAATGTTATTTGGGATCTTGTCAAAGTGATCCGTCCATTGGAGTGTGGCAGGAAGGTGGATGAAGTAAGATTGGCCATGAGTTGATAATACTGAAGCTGGGTCCTGGATACAGGGGGGTTTATCATACTATTCTTTTCTTTGTCTTTGTAAGTTTTATAACTCATAAAAAAAAATCAAGACTGTAATGAAAAGATTTCATGTCAGTTTTTCATGGCAAGCTTTCCATTTCTATATCTCTGGATTATTTTTCTTAAATTTATAATTAATAGAAAAGGACATCTTAATATTATTGTATTACGTAAATGACATCAATGCACACAACAAGCAATGTATATTATATCCTTTGTTTTCCCATCTCATTGTACTCACTCTTCTCACTGTGCCTCTCATTAGAAAGTTGCAACTTGACTCACCTCATGCATTGGCATTTATGCATATTCACTTAAAATAAACTTATGTCTCATTCAACCTTTCCCTGAAATATCTTACTATGCTTTGTAGATAATTTTACCTTTTGTCTACATTCCTTTTTAGATCCAGGTTACTTATTTATTTAAAAGATTTTATCTATTTATTTGAGAGAGAGAGAGAGAGCGAGAGAGCATGCACACAAATAGCGGCAGGGAGAGGGAGAAGCAGGCTTCTAGCCAAGCAGAGCCTGATGGGCTTGATCCCTGAACCCTGAGATCATAACCCTGAGCTGAAGGCAGACGCTTAAACCAGCTGAGCCACCCAGGCATCCCAATCCAGTTACTTTTTTAGATTCTATATCATCTTCCTGTTTCAGAGAGGGGATTCAAGTTAATTTGCATTTTATACTTATTATATGGGCCTAATACACTTAATAAGAACTGTGTAGTTGCACTTTGATGCTTGAAGTTGACATTTGTAAGGTTAGTTTTCTTCAAGGTACATACTGTGTCCCTGGACATCTTTTATTATTTTCTGAGATAGAATTTAAAAATTGTCTTTTGGCGATATTAACATCTACCTCTTGGGTTGATATTGGGAGTAGCTAGGTGAAATAATATGTAGGAAACAGTGATGGATAAAAACCCTTAAATCCTGTCACATCATGGGGGTTCAGTAGATGTTAATTTTTGTTTTTATTGATGTTATTTTATTGCCATCTGATTACCTAGAGTATTCACGTCCTTACTCTTCTTTGGTTAGAAATCATTGCAAGCATGTCTTGTGTCTTAAATGGCAGATAGCAGCTGATGAACCTCCACCAGAAGAATGTAACTCATTTTTCTCTGTGCATGGAAAGAAGACCTGTGATTTTGATACCCTTGAGACTCTTCTCCTCACTGCATCTGAAAGGTAGATTGTGTGTTTCTTTGTGTAAATGTCATGCATTGCATTATGCTTTCTTCTATATCAAATCCATCATTGGATTTTTCTGATGGGTTTTGTGGTCTGTAGGTACAGTTGCTTAGAGTATGGATTCTGGAGCCAGACTGACTAGATTTGAATCCCAGCTCCATTACTAAAAATAGTTTTGTAAACTTAGGTAAATTACTTAACCTTTCTTTTTTCTATCTCATTTCGAAATGGAGATAATAAGAGTACTTAATGTCACTGTTATTATTTAGTAATAACTGTCTGAGAGATTACATAGATGTTGTCATTAGCTTAGTAAAGAATTACCTGGTGTATTAAAGCAAGGGCCTGAAGTAATTATATTAATAATAATGATTTCTCAGGGTATTATTAGTTTCAGGCAAAGGAGACCATTTAAAAGATAATTGCAAGCTTAATTTGAATATTAAATTGGTAATTTAAAAAATATTTATCTATTCATGAGAAACACAGAGAGAGAGAGAGGCAGAGACATAGGCAGAGGGAGAAGCAGGCTCCATGCAGGAAGCCCAATGTGGGACTCGATCCCGGGATCACGCCCTGAGCCAAAGGCAGATGCTCAGCCACTCAGCCACCCAGGCATCCCTTAAACTGGTAATTAAAGGGCTGACTTTTTTGCTTAAAAAAGTGGTGGACAGATGTAACAGGTGCCTCTTGCTGTCTGGCTATGGCAATAATTGCATTGTACCTTTTCTCTACTGGCATTATAAATCGGATAACAGTGATCTCTCTGTGGTGTTGCTCTGTTGATTCAGAAGAGCGTTTTAGGCACGGTAGTTCTTCTTTAGTAAGATTATCTGCCTGGCATTTGTTCTCTGCTCACTAAATGGCATGAGAGCCTTTTACTCAGAATGACAACCAGAAAATGGGGTGTGTGTTCCAGCTACCTTCAGGTCAAGGAATGGACATTCGAAAATGGTTCATATGGTAAAGTAGTGCTCCCTTGGGGCAAACATAATTAATTGATTAAAAAAAACTCTTTAACTTTTTTTTTGTAAATATTTTGTTTATTCATGAGAGACTAGAGAGAGAGAGAGAGAGAGGCAGAGACACAGGCAGAAGGAGAGAGAGAGAGAGAGAGAGAGAGAGAGGCAGAGACAGAGGCAGAAGGAGAAGCAGGCTCCATGCAGGGAGCCTGATGTGGGACTCCAGGATCATGCCCTGGGCCGAAGGCAGGTGCTAAACCACTGAGCCACCCAGGGATCCCTACTCTTGAAACAATAATATAAGCCTTCGTAAAGAAAAGAGTGATAGTGTTTCCTCTTCTGAGAGGTGATAACTATTTTTAGTGGTTTGTCATAGTGTTTTGGAGTTTTTTCCTGTGGTTATAAATTTATACAGGTATGTAGGCTTATTTTTACAAGAGATTTCTTCCCAGTAGTATATGTAGTGTATCTCCATATTTTTACCACATGCAAGATAACTATGTAAGAATGTCCTGTAGTTTTTTACTGATAGTTTTAAAGTTGTTTTCTGTTTCTTTGTTTTTGTTATTATGGTAAGGCTATCGTGAACATCCTTATTTATACATTTTTACTTTGTGTGAAATAGTTTAATTATAGTTCATTGTAAGAGGGAATGGCAGATCATTAAGTCTGTGTAATAAGACTTAATATCTTTTTTTTTTGAGAGAGAGAGAGAGATAGAAAATGAGTGAATAAGAGGGGAGGGATGGAGGGTGGGAGCCCAAGCAGACTCTACATCTGACACAGAGCTCCATCTCACAACCCTGAGATCATGACCTGAGCAGAAATCAAGAGTTGGACACCCAACTGACTGAGCCACCCAGGCACCTGTGATCTCTTAATATCTTGATGCCATTGTTAGGGAATTGTTTTTGAGGGTGAAGTTTTGAAATTTGGGAGGAAACTTAAATGTTAAATCATTTAGTAGGAAGATCATTTAATAAAATGATAGAGGAGGGAGATGCTGTGGTTGGCAAGTTATATGCTTAAAGTCATCGTGCCTTTTCACATTATTTGTACTTATGTTTTCAGATAAAAGGATAATCTATTTAGGGTTGCCTGGGTGATGAAGTCAGTTAAGCATCTGACTCTTGATTTCAGCTCAGGTCCTGACTTCAGGGTCATGGGATTGAGCCCCTGAGTTGGGCACTGAGCTCAGTGTGGAGTCTGCTTGAGATTCTTTCTCCCCCTGTCTGTGCCCCTCCCCTTGCTCATGTTCTCTCTTTCTTTCTCTCTCTCCCTGAAATAGATAAATCTATTTTAGGTCAATAGATTTTATTTTAGATAAATCTAAAAAAATGATTATATAGTAGAATAGCTTACTAAAGTTTAGTATTGTGATATGTGGATATGTATCCTTTTTCTGGCTTTCATTCTTTTTTAGGAATTGGTAACAATTATTAATCTTAAGTCCGCATTTTATAGTTACTATTTATATAATGCATGTATTTTTATTTTTTTCAGTCATGAATAAGTAAGACTCATATTTGACAGTATTCTTACTGTCAAAACTATTTCAGATTTTGATATTCTTGTATTATTAAGATACTTAAAATCTTAAATCATTGCTGCTGTAGCTATATCTTGTACTGTTTTTAATGTTTAAGTACTTTTTTAAGTTTAAAATTTTAAGGGGGTGTGGGAGGATGGGTGAAATATGTATTGGGGATTAAGGAGTACACTTGTGATGAGCACCAGGTGATGTATGGATTTGTTGAATCACTATATTGTACACCTGAAAAAATATAACTGTGTTAATTAAATGGACTTGAAATAAAAACTGAAACAAAATTTTAAGCTTTTGATATTTATTTTCAGACCCAAGCCTTTATTGTTCAAAGGAGATCACAGATACCCCTCATCTAATCTTGAAAGCCCAGTGGTGATTTTCTATTCTGAGATTGGTTATGAGGAATTTTATAATTTCCACCACCAACTTATATCAGAAAGCAATGCAGGCAAAATCAATTATGTATTCAGACATTATATACTTGTAAGTATTGATTTATTTTATGACTTCTGTAAATATTAATTTGCCCAGCATGACTTTGGCATGTAAGCTAATAATACCACCCCTTTATAAAATAAAATAATTTGAACTACTTTTCTTCATGTGCACCTGGATTTGCACATAGGAGGTACTTTTGCTTGCCTTTCTGAAGAAATAGAAAAGAATTATGATTAAAAAATGGCTTAATAAGATTTATATCATATTTAAAAATGTAGCATGTAATTTATATTTTCTAGGTTTAGTATAATCAGTGTACTGTGAAACTGATTTTTTTTAAAAAACTAATTCTTAAATTCGGTCCCTTTCAAACCTTTTTCTTCATTTTGGAATGTTTTCATTTGATAGAAAGGGAGGGATTTCTAGAGAGGTAAAAACAAGTGAAATTGATTTAAAATTAAGTTTTAAAAATCTTTTGTAACATTTAGCATCTAATATATGTGTGTAAACATATTAGCCTTTAAAGTGTCTGTGTCATAATCTCAGTAAAATTGAGTGGTAAGTCCATACAAGTAAAATAAATTTTTTAAAAAAGATTTTATTTTTTTATTCATGAGAGACAGGGACAGAAGCAGAGACATAAGCAGAGGGAGAAGCAGGTACTTTGTGGGAAGCCTGATGTGGGACTCTATCCCAGGACACTGGGATCATGACCTGAGCTGAAGGCAGATGCTCAACCACTCAGCCACCCAGGTGCCCCAAGTAAAATTTTTAAATGAAAATTTGTATGAACAGAAACATTAAAAAAAATACCCAGTTTTTGGCAACTGCTCTCCTTCTCCCTGCTTCCCAGACTTTATTTCTGTTTTTAAAGATTAAAATGTCTAAAGCTCCATCCTCATTCAGGATGGTGGTAAGCCTGTGACAGTGACAGCTGGTCAGCCTAAGCCCTACCTGAAGACATTGAAATTCATTTAACAATGAACGCATAACACACATGATGCCAGCAAAGTACTTCTGGGTTTGAAACCTCATCAGTTTTCAGCCCTGCTATGTAGGTTCTGGAATTTCCTTTTCTTTTTCTCCATTTTTTTCACATGATTTGGTTACTTTTGCCCTGTCAGCTGTCCCTTCATCTGGTTTTCCTTTTACTTTAGAATTCCCATTTCCATACTTGTGGCAGGATATTAATGAAGTCTAAAGGAGGCTTGAATTCTCATGGGAGTTAAGTATACTTTGAGCGCGTAATCCTAGTGGCATCTATGTGAAGTTAATACCCTCCACGTCCCCTTCACTGTGACATGTAAAGAGCCAGATGGTAATGATGGAATACTTAACTCTGCTTGCAGAATCCCAGGAAGGAGCCTGTTTACCTCTCTGGCTATGGTGTGGAATTGGCAATTAAGAGCACTGAATACAAGGCCAAGGATGATACTCAGGTGAAAGGTGAATTTGTAAATTAAGACTGATGTGTTTTCTTTTTTTAAAATGTGAATGAAAGGGAATTTGTTTCCTGAAGGTAAAATAACAGATTTAGGAGTTTGATGAACCTGTGTTTGAATGCTGGTTCTGTTACCTCTGAGTTGGGTGATGTTAAGCAAATTCCGTAGGTCCTAAATTTTTCCTTTGTAAAGTGTGGATAACGGTTTATGCGTCCTAACGTATTTGTGAGGAGAGAATAAGATATATAGGTAAAGAAGGTGTAGCACAGTATTTTTGCACAAAAATTTCAATAATTGTAGCTGTTATTATTGATGATGCATAGTTCACAAGTAGACATTGATTTGTGATCCAGTGTGAAATCTTAAATTATCATATACTTCATGAACAGTTTTGTGTTTTTTATTTTCTGCATTTAGAATTGTTTTTTATGAATATACTTCCTATTATACTACTTTAGAGTTTTGAAGTCATTATTTCAGCCACAAGGTTTTTTGTTTAGTTTTTTTTTAATTTTTTAAAGATTTTACTTATTTAATTCATGAGAGACACACAGAGAGAGGCAGAGACATAGCCAGAGGGAGAATTAGGCTCTCTGTGGGAAGCCTGATGTGAGACAGTATCCCAGGACCCTGGGGTTACCTTGAGCCATCTCTCAGCCACAAGTTTTATGTGCAGTCTATTATAATCCTTGTGAACTCACTTTAAAGAAAAAAATGATTGGGTAAATGGAGGATAGTCTAGTACATCATACTGTACTCAATAATTATATTTAGGTTTAGGTTCCCTAATTTCAAAGTCTTCAGAGTGTAGATAACCGAAAAATCCACTATTCATAATTTTAAAGGTATTAATTTTGAGCTTTTTAAAATATAAAATTTTCCAAAGTTTAAGGGGAAAATATATTTTTGCTTTATCCAGAATACAAAATACATTGAAAAACAAATTTATTCTGTTAAAAAAAAATTGCAAAGTGTTCATTGAGGTATTCAGTGTTTTAAATAGTATTAGAGTTTCAGGTGTTTCTAATTTGGTTTACATTACTCAAATTATATGAGGTTAATAACATTTTAATTTCTCTTCTGAACAATTAGACATGTATTTGCCTGTGTTTTTATAGGAACTGAGGTAAACACCACAGTGATTGGTGAAAATGATCCCATTGATGAAGTTCAAGGATTCCTCTTTGGAAAATTAAGGTATGGCATAGTCTTTTGGGAAATGCCCTTATTCTCTTTATGCTCTAGGCTTCCTCCCATTATAAGCATCATCTTTCTATTTACTGTCCAAAGTTACAGGTCTCGCAGTAGTACTGTATATATGCAATCTGATATGAAGCGATTACCACTTCACTAACTGTATAGTTTATGATCTCCAGGCATCTGTAGCATGTTATTATTAAATGATATTAGGGTGGCCTGCCGATGGCTTTAGTTGATTTCCTTTCTGAGCCTTGCAGTTGATGACAGAAAGTTACATGCCAGTTTTTGATTCACATAATAGGAGACATCTGATTGTTTCACTCAATTTTTCCCAAGAGAATAAAAAGTATTTTAAGTGAAAGAGCTTATAGTTGTTTACTTAAACTAAGAATAGCCTGAAACAATGCAAAAAAGGTGCAATAGATCTTATACATGTTCAGTTGAAATACATTAGACTTTGCTTTATATGAAAGAGGACAAAAGATGTTTCTTGAAAATTTCATAGCCATTTTATGAAAGTGTCATAGAAATTTATAGCTGAAAATTCTTAGTTGTCATTTTAAGTGTTATTTCTATTATGCCGTGATAATTGTTTAGAGCCTTGAATTCTGCTTTATCTGGAAATCTTAATTAGGACAGCTGCAGTGGGATTTGGTTTTTGTGTTTTTGTTTGTTTTGTCTTTTTTTTTTTTTTTGTAAAGGAATGGATCATGAAGAAATATGTATAGGCCCAGTTTCATGTACTTGAGCTTTAACATTTGGCCCAGTGAAATGACTTAATCATATGAACAGGTTAGCAGAGGTGACTCAGTTCATGTTGAATTCTGCGCATGTGTTCAGTTTATCCTATGCATATGCATGTTTCTTTGTGTTTAACATCAGTTTTAGCCTCATTAGTATACAGTCAGATTCCAATTTCATTGGACCCAGGTTTTCATAGTTTCTTTTCATATTCATGTTTTTTATGTTTGGTTTCTGGATAGCATCATGATCTTATGTATTTAGAGCACAAAGGTAGTATGCAGAGTATTCAAGAGATTTTCTTATGTAGGTGTTCAGAATGGTTATTTAGCTGTCTAAAGTAATGGGACCATTTTCTTGATAGTCTTATCATGAAGAAAAGTTTCTAGTAACTGACTGGAAATGGATTGCTTGGAAGGTGAAGAATCAGAGTAAATATTTTACTTTATGTATGTGGCATTTAAGAAATTTTGAATTTCTAGCATTTAAAAGTACAGAATTACTCTACCAACCATCTGTTGTCTGATCTAAATGATACATATCTACCTCTGATACCTTCTGTTTTACTAGTTTTAAATAGAATGTACTCTATTTCGAGATAAAACTAAAGGAAATCCAATTATCTTGGTTAGTTCAAATTGTATTTTTTATGTGATTAAAGGATTTATGTGCATGTAGCTGAAAGAAATTCATTTTGGGACTGGCAACAATATATTTCCAGTTTTATTTTGAGAAAGTAGAAAGATTCAGTCTAGTATGGAGAATAATAGAATATACCCATGTACTTACTACCCAGAATTGATGGTTGTAATTGTACTTGCTTTTTTGTTCCAAAGAACTATTAATCAAGTTTATGCCAACATATGCCTTTTACTTAAAAAAGAAACAAACAGGGATCCCTGGGTGGCGCAGCGGTTTAGCGCCTGCCTTTGGCCCAGGGCGCGATCCTGGAGACCCGGGATCGAATCCCATGTCGGGCTCCTGGTGCATGGAGCCTGCTTCTCCCTCTGCCTGTGTCTCTGCCCCTCTCTCTCTCTCACTGTGTGCCTATCATAAAAAAAAAAAAAAAAAAAAAAAATTAAAAAAAAAAAGAAACAAACAAGGGTAAAACACTACAGGTAGAGTTGAGGTTCCCTTTGTTCCTACTCTCAGTCCTGTCCCCTGTCCCCCCAACACAGAAAATCACTACTGTATTGATTCTTTTTTTAAAAGATTTTATTTATTTATTCATGAGAGAGACAGAGAGAGACAGAGACATAGGCAGAGGGCGAAGCAAGCTCCATGCAGGGAGTGCCATATGGGACTCAATCCCAGGACTCTGGGATCACTCCCTGAGCCAAAGGCCGACGCTCAACCACTGAGCCATCCAGGCGTCCCATGACTCATTTTTTAATCTGTAAATTTTATGGTTTTTAAAATTATAATTTTCTATATTAACTTTTTTTTTCAAGAAAAATAATTATGCTTTAATATTTTTCCTATATTGTAGGAGTTTTCTCCTAATTGCTAAGGGGAGAAAAGCATGAAGATAAAATTGGAGCTAACTTCTAAATGTGCTTTAGAAAGGAAAGGTACATTATTAAGACTTGATTTTATGTTTCTTTCAGAGACCTGCACCCTGACCTGAAGGGGCAGTTGAAAGAACTCAGAAAACACCTTGTGGAGAGCACCAATGAAATGGCACCTTTAAAAGTTTGGCAGTTGCAAGGTAATAAACATATAGAAGAATCACTGGTTTACTTGACTAAATTTTATGGTATTAAAAAATGTAGAATTAAAAATTAGTGTTCTTTATTTTTAAAGATTGTATTTATTTATTCATGAGAGACACAGAGAGAGAGAGAGGCAGAGACATAGGCAGGGAGAAGCAGGTCCCATGCAGGAGCCGGATGTGGGACTTGATCCCGGACCCCGGAGATCTCGACCTGAGCTGAAGGCAGACACTCAACACTGCTGAGCCACCCAAGTGTCCCTAATGTTATTTATTTGCCTGATTCCGAGGGTACACAGATTTTCAAGATAGAGTGATTATGATTAATCAGAAAAGTCCTTTTGTAGACAGATACTGTGCAGAAGTAGATGAGTGCCTGATCTTTATCTAAACAGATACATAAGTATAATAGTACAAACTTGTTTGTCTTAGTTTTTATGTTTCTTTATATATACATTTCTTAAGCAGTGTATCAGTCAAATGTTTAAGAAGTATTAACATGGCAGGATATATTTGTGCTTTTCTGGTCCAAAGATCTGTCATATTATTATTTTTAACATATTTTATTAAATCTTTTGCTATACTTTGTGGTATGTTGTAAATTCAGAAAAAGGAAAAAGATTTGGGATAGATTTATCTTGTGCTAAATGTAAATGTGTTAGTATGTATTTCAGTGTTTTATGCAAGTATAGCAAAGAAGGGCAACAATAAACATTCTAGGGTCTATGAAGTGACTACAAACTGAGATTAAACCATCTGCACTCCCTGAAATGGTTGTATTCTCAGGCATTCTCAGTTACCAAAAAATTGTGAGAAAGAAATGCATTTTTTTTCTTATTTCTCTTTGCATTAGAATATGCACTTTCAATTGTATTTGACCTTGTTGCAGATCTCAGTTTCCAGACTGCTGCCCGAATCTTGGCTGCTCCTATTGAATTAGCTTTGGTGGTTATGAAGGATCTTAGTCAAAATTTTCCTACCAAAGCCAGGTAATAAAGAGTAAGGCTCTGAGACATTCTTCTTTGACACTATCTAATTACCTTTATGTTTACATGCAAAATGAGGCAAGTAAAATATGAAAATGTTTAGGAAATTAAAGTTTTACTACCAGTACCATACTACTGATAGTGCTTTTTGGGAAGGTGGCAATACCATATATATAGTGAGGTTGGAGAGACCCATCTAGCTTGTGTCCTTGGCTCTACCATTTGGTAGTTGTGTGATGTTTGCAAATAAGCGACCTCTCTTTATCTTACTTCCTTGGCAGTAAAATAGAAATAATTATACCTGCCTCTCAGGATTAGATGAGTTAACAAAATCTGATGTATGCAGATGTACCTGCAAGCTCCTGAAGAGTTTCATATATATCATCTTATTCAAACTGGGTGAGGAAAATGAGTTCTAGAGGCTGACTTGTTCATTATGACACAATAAGGTTTTGAATGCAGCTTTTTTTTTTTTTAAGATTTTATTTATTTATTCATGAGAGACACACACATAGAGAGAGAGAGAGAGGCACAGACATAGGCACAGGGAGAAGCAGACTCCATACAGGAAGCCCGATGTGGGACTCGATCCCAGGACTCCGGGATCACGCCCTGAGCCAAAGGCAGACACTTAACTGCTGAGCCACCCAAGCGTCCCTTGAATGCCGCTTTTTCATACTGCTTTCAATTGTATAATGATCCTCCACATCACATAAGTAAATAATTTTAAAAACCAAATTTTTAAAGACTATAACAACTTAAATGATTGCCAATATTTTTCTTGAGTAACTGAACAGATGTTTTGACTTCTGATGTGAGATATTTTATAAATAAATTTGTTTATTTGATTAGTCTTGGAAAATATTTCTTAGACAGGACTTATAAATCATATGGTACATTCTCATTTAGTTCAGCATGCTATTGAAGATATACATTTAGAATTCCACCTCCATCAAAAGTGCTCAAATAGGATGAGCAGTCTTTCACCTTAATTTAACATTAGCCTTTAGCCTGTGAACAGTAGAGCTCATACATAGGAATAGAGTTACATATATTTAATTTAAGATCTTGGGAATAACTGCCCATGCTTTAAAATACTGCTATTTCTGCTACTTTTCTGTGGTGTCCTATCTTGTAATAATGAAAATATTATGTACACCTTGAGTGGGGAAATATATTTGTAAAGATGAGGGTTTTTTTTTTTCCATTTAGTTTTTTTGTAAAGTATTGAGCAATGTGTTGTTTCATATCTAAATATAGGGAAATTGAAGACATTTATATCAAATGTTAACCTAAACACTAATATTTTTATTTCTTTAGAGCAATAACAAAAACGGCAGTGAGTTTGGAACTTAGAAGCGAAGTGGAAGAGAATCAGAAGGTATTACCCAGTGGAAAACCACTATTTTCCTTTCTGTTTTGTATTTTTAAAAATGAGGAAATCTGAGTTACATCAATGACATTTAACAGTTTTACTCTCCTTTTATCAAGAATGGTAGTCTTTTATTTCTGTAATTTTTTTATATTTTTAATTTTTAATCAAAGTTGAATATTAATATAATTCGAACAAGAGTGCCTCAGTCATTTAAGCATCCTCTTGATTTCAGCTCAGATCATGTTCTTAGGGGTCCTGGGATCAAGCTCCGTCTTGGGTTCTGTGCTCATTGGATAGTCCTGCTTGTTCCTCTCCCTCTGCTCCTCTCTGCGCTTGGGCTTGTTCACATGTGCGCTCTCTCTCTCTCTCTCTCTCTCTCTCTCTCTCTCTCTTTCAAACAAACAATCTTAAATCAGACGGTGCCACCACTTTGTTTATATAAACAGCATACTCCTAACATGATTTATTCCCTGTTTTATCCCCCTTGTCAGAAGTATTTACTATCAACACTTAGCTAATTGTTTTGATATTTATCCCCAGATTTCTAGCAAGTTTGAATTGGTACTGTTTTCCAGTTTCAAACTTTGTCTCAGCCTACCATTACAAGGATGAAGTTTAAGTTTCTTTCACTGTCCCTCACCCCCATGTCTGCCATTAATCCATATTGGCACTTCCATGTCTCCATTTTCGTGTTGTAATTTTATCAGTTTTTGTTCTGCTCCACTGTAGTCTGGTGGTTCTTTATGTCTAGGGTATACCAGTTATCCTGAGACCTTGCTTTAAAGCAATCTTTTGTTGGATCTCCTATTCTTGGATTCCAGGTCTTCTTTGTTTTTGGTTTACTTCCTTATTTTGGTGCAGCACATCATTCTTCATGAGAAAAGTTGTGTGCAAAATAAATTTCAGACTCTGAGAAATCAATTTTCCATTTCTGTTTTTATTGATAGATTGGCTGGGTATAGAATTCTATATTGGAAGTCATTTAGAAGTTTTGTTACTAGGTTAGGATGGGTCTGCTCCTTGGTGGGCGGGTTGAGACCATACCAGGTGGGTTGCCTCTGAGGTCATCTTTATTTGTATAAGTAGGGAGATCGTGGGGAATAATTTCCAAAGCCATGACTGTCCCAGTAGGGGTAAGCTGGCTCTTCTTTAGGGTTTGGAATGAATATTCCCCAAACCAGGGACTTTTACATTGTAATGAAGCTGAGTATGTGCAGCACGTTTTGATTTTTCTGAGCGGGTGTCATCTCAATTGTTTCTTTTTCTGTTCCAGCAATTTGTTAGTTTCTAAACAGTAAAATTGCCTGTAGAACCTTTTAGGAGTTTCCTGAGTTCAGTAGGTCAGTCCTGAGTTCAGGTGGTCAAGGGTGGCAGTTTGAAAGGCCTTGCTTCTTGGAATTTTGGTTTCTCTTGTGAATATTGAGAAATCTGAACTTAGATCTGGTTTTTATTTTCCAGAATTATTCACGATCTTTTCTTTGGCCCTAGTAATCCAAAATTTCACACTGCTCTTCCTTTAAAAAAAAAAAAAAATCTCTGTACTGTTAGGTGGTTAGTGGTCTTCAAATCTGGAAAGTAATTTCCTTTAATTTTGGGAAGTTTGCTTGAATTATTTCTTTGCCTCATTCCTTCTGCTTTCTCTCTTTTGTTTTTCTGGAATTCTTCAGTTTTAAGATATTGCATCTCCTCGGCTAGTTTGACCAATTAAAAAAATTTTTTCCCCCCTACATTGAATTCTTTTATATTTTTAAACTTTCTGGGAAAGATTTTCAAGCCCTTTGGTTGACATTTTTCCTTTAGTTGTCAAATCTTTAATTTCTAAGGGATATTGTATTTAGATTCTTTTTATCGTGTTCTCTTACCTTTTGAATTATCAGTGGTGCATGTGTATGTTTTTTTCTCTCGCATCATATGTTTTCTCTTAAGTTCACTTTCTTTTTGTCTTGGTTTCTTGCTTTAATGTTAGAGGCTTTCCTTACGTGTTTGGTGTGGTGATCTGCTCTTATTGAAGAGAATGGACAGTAAAGAGCTGGTGGGAAGCCTTAAGGATGAGGCTTTTTGACTGTAGGCTTTCCTAGGTTGCCTCAGTGTCAGTATCCTGAAACCTCTCTTCTTGAGCTGTTCAGTCTTCAGAAAAGGATCTTCTGCCTGGAGGGTGAAGTCTGTCTGCCTGGGTGGTAGAAGCCCAGTAGGAAGAACATTAGGGAACTTATACTCAGTCCCCTGTTTTCATTATGGGATCCCTGCCCTCTTTGGGTTTCCCAAGTTCCAGGTTCTATCCTTCACTCTTTCCAGGGAATGAGCTTCCATTTTTTCTGGAGTAGAGGGAGTCATGACAGCAGTCACCTTGCTGCATGAAATCAGCAGGGGAGTCTGAGGGCTCTTATCTATAAAAAGCTGTCCACCAGAACTCATTTTTTAACTTAGTTATTACCCCCTTGTACATGTGTTCTTTGTGTTGTCAATCTTGATTGAGTCTTTTAAGGAGTTCCATAAGATAACTTGTGGTTTTAGTTGGCCTTTTCCACTATTGGCCTGGCATTTAGCTTTCTTAGGGTTGCTAAAACAGTTGCTATTCATGCAGCTCCTTTCTACCTTCTAAAATTAATTACCCTTTTTCTTTTTTGTTCTGTTTATTGTTTTGGATTTATGACTTTATAAAAGTCCCTTTTTAAAAAACTGACATTTTGGGATGCCTGGGTGGTTCAGTGGTTGAGCATCTGCCTTCAGCTCAGGTTGTGATCCCGGGGTCCTGGGATCAAGTCCTGTATTGGACTCCTTATGGGGAGCCTACCTCTCCCTCTGCCTGTGTCTCTGCCTCTCTCTGTGTCTCTCATGAATGAATAAATAAAATCCCCCCCCCCCAAAAAAAAAACCTGACATTTCAACAGAGTTTCAGGAAGGAAAAAAAGAAATGCTTGTGTTCAGTCTAATATCTTTACCCCAGATTTTTAAAATGTTTGCATATGATGAGATATTAACTAATAGATCGGAGGAATAAGGAAACCAAATTTATCTCAGATGTGTACTAAATTGAAGAAACCTTATTGATAATTTTTATTTACCTTTTTTTAGGACTTTTTTCCCCCACAAGAGAATAAAACATTAAATCACATAAACTGTAGTATTTCCTGGATTCTTTTTTTTTCATATTGTATTAAAGTATAAAATATGGAAGTATAAAACACGCAAAAATGTACACAAACCCTAAATCTTTGGTGTGATGAATTTTCACAAAGTGAACTTCAGTCTGTTACCAGCACTCAGATCTTGAAATAAATATGAGTTGTGTTTATCAGTTCAGAATCAGTACTTCTTACAATCAGAGGATGATTGGGCTTGGGTGTGAGTGGACTTGGACATGGAGTTTTTCTTTCCCATGTAAGAAATTCCAGTTCTGAATTGATGTAACTTCAGTTTCCCCTTATTTTACTTGGCAGTTTAAGCCTTATAGGGAAAGAAGCAAAAGCTGTGACTTCCTCATCGTTTTATGCTTCACTCATTGCAATATTGGACCTTAAAGTTTACTTCTCTTAGTTTGCTGACGACTGAGAAATGAAGGAAGTTCAGCAGTCCCTGTCTTCCTCCTCTTAGCACTGCGAGAACTGAGTTCTGTTTAGTATCTGAGTAGTTTCTTCCCTTTGCTGTGTGGATTAACTCCCTGTGGTGCGGAATATGAATAAGGAGTCTCAGTTTCCTTGGAAGGAGAGTAATTAAATGGAAAGAAGTCAACAGAAGCTACAGCATGACATCCAAGCAGTGTGTTGGATGCGTCAGGCAGGTTTGAAGGGCTGTAGGGACTGCAGTCACCTGTGTGCCATGGCAGCCATGGTCTCAGGGAGTAGACCTGGTCTTGGAGAGTTAGGTTGCATGTAGGTGCTATCCTCAGGGCAGCAACTCATTTTCTTAGTGTGCATTAGTTTGAAGGTTTAAGAGAGCTGTGGGGGTTTGAAACCATTTTAGATTAGATCCCTGAAGTTCATCACGAAGGCCCAGCTGTTAGTGACTGCTGGTACCACCTTGGTGTCACAAGCAGGGAAAAGTAATAGAAGTCCTCTTTTATGAAAAGTGACCCTCAGCGCTTGGCTTATTTAATCAATCTCTCTCTTCCTCCTTCCCCCAACATTATAGGAAACCATTGTATTAATCATAGTTGGAAGGAAGAAGGGAGGAGAGGTTTATTTCTCATGAACCAGCAGTTTCATTACCATGAAATAAATGCTAAGAAGGGTCTTTGGGAGTACATAAAAGGAAATCTTAACCCAGCTTCAGGATTTTCTATAATACAAGGGTGCAGCATTTGTACATGAAATCAGAAATATGGAAGTTTTTGTTAAACATTCTCTTGCTGCTTCCTAACAATTTTTTTTTTTTTAAATATTTCAGTATTTCAAGGGAACTTTAGGATTACAGCCTGGAGATAGTGCACTGTTCATCAATGGACTTCATATTGATTTAGATACACAGGATATATTCAGGTATGGATAATATTCTCTGGAAATGTTTTATAATGTTAGCTCCTTGTAACATGTTCAAATTGTTTTTCTTACTTGATGTGACATGTGTAAAGCCTAATGGCTTACTAGGTGCAGTGAGAGCACTTTAGGTAGGTTCAGGACTGGGATGGACATGATGATACTGTCATTTATCGTAATGGACATTGAGGGCCCAAGTGTCTTTAGAGGATGCCTTTGAATATCTAGAGGGACGCTTGGGTGGCACAGTTAAGTAGCTGACTATTGGTTTTAGCTCAGGTGGTAATCTCAGGACTGTAATCTTAGGGCTGTGAGATTGAGGCCCACGTGGAGTATGCTTGGGTTTCTCCCTTTGCCTCTCTCCTCTTCCCTACCTCCCTCCCTCCCTCCCTCTCTCTATCGGTCTGTCTGTCTCTCTCTCTCTCCTTTGTCTCTCAAATGGATAAATCTTTTTTTTTTTATTTTTTTTTTAATTTTATTTATGATAGTCACAGAGAGAGAGAGAGAGAGAGGCAGAGACACAGGCAGAGGGAGAAGCAGGCTCCATGCACCAGAAGCCCGACGTGGGATTCGATCCCGGGTCTCCAGGATCGCGCCCTGGGCCAAAGGCAGGCACCAAACCGCTGCGCCACCCAGGGATCCCTCAAATGGATAAATCTTTAAAAAAAAAAAAGTATTTCTTTTTTGTGTTGTTAAAATGTGGTTCAGGACTAACTTGCTCTTAGTTGGCTTCATGAATTTACAAGGAGGGGTGTGGATTGTTAGGTAGAATTCAGATTTTTGTCCATAGAATTAAGATTGACAGACTTGACCCTGTGGCTTTATAATAGTAAAAACGAAAGTTATTGCTAATCCTTCAGAAGAACGAGTTCTCTCACAATAGGATATTTTTTACATTATTTTAATTGAGCTTTTATGTTCTCCTACTTTTCAGAGTTAGTAAAATGGGTATGGATACTTTAAAAAATTGCCCAGATCTTTTTTTTTTTTAAGTAAAAAATAGACGCATATCTCTTTAATTTTTCAGAGTTTACAACTGAGTGCTTTGCTCATTTAAACAATTTTAGATGATACACAGGTAAAAGAACTAAGAAAAGTAAAGTCTTCATCCTGATTTCTTACTTATTCCTCCTCCATATCTCTTCTACCTTTACTAGCAAACCTCTTCGTTGGGTATAAATTCCTGCATACCTTTTACTGTTGTTGTAAGTGTGTGTACTTTGTAAATTGACACTGATTTTGTAATTTACGTTAAATCTACGTAATGTATTCTTTGAGATAAATTTTAAATTATGAGATAATTGTAGATTTATGTGCAGTTGTAAGAAATAATAGGTTACCATAGTGTTTTTTAAAAACATGCAGTATAAAATTGAGGTGAGGATTATTTAATCCTCAAATTGGGTGTTTATATTTAGAGATAATTTTATATCTGGTAGATAACATTGATAAGTGTAAATAAGAAGCAAGTCCTACCTACTTCGTTCTACATATTTTGACAAGATGAAGCAAGGGGAAGAACTCTTTTTTTTTTTTTTTTTATTTGAACAGAGCATTGTGTTTGAACTGATAAAGTTTTTCATGGTGAGGTTTTTTTAAATAAAGTTTTTTCTACTAAATACCTTTTTTCCTCCCTCAGTCTGTTTGATGTATTGAGGAATGAAGCTCGGGTAATGGAGGGCCTGCATAGATTGGGAATAGAAGGCCTTTCTCTGCATAATGTTTTGAAGCTGAACATCCAGCCCTCTGAGGCTGACTATGCTGTAGACATCCGGAGTCCTGCTATTTCAGTAGGTATTCTGTTGGGGTGTCCAAGGAGCGTTCTAGCCAGGCAATTTATTATGGTTTTCTCACTTGTCTTTTGTGAGAAGTAAGTTATTTCTCCCATCCCTTACTTACATTATTGGCATCAAACAGTGATTTAGAACAACTGCTTATGTGGGACTTTGTATATAAGATAAAGTATTCTCTTAAATCCTCCAAAAAGTTAAATTATGTTTAATTTGGTTACGACAGTGATTTTTACAGTTTTGTTTCCCCCTAGAATTCAGCTTGAGTGTCTTTTGGGAAAAAGAATGCTAAGTTTGTATTTTCTCATTTGCATACAAGTTCTGTGTGATTTTTGTGTATATATTTTTTGGCCAATCCTTCTTTAAAAGAACTTTGATTATTTTGTATTTGGAGGTCTTTCCTATGTGATTCTTCTTAAAATCATTTCAAGTCTTACTGTTATTTTTGGTAATTTCACTAATAGTTACTAAAGTATATGCCCCATGTTGTGCTTTTTTTTCCTAGTGGATCAACAACTTGGAGGTTGACAGCAGATATAATTCATGGCCTTCTAGTCTACAAGAGTTGCTTCGACCCACCTTTCCTGGTGTTATCCGGCAGATAAGGAAAAACTTGCATAACATGGTGAGTAAAATTCCTTATTGTCTGGCAATGTGCTGTTTCCTCCTTGCCTTCTTCCCTGCCTTTCAGGCAAATCTAGACTGTTCATTTCTCCCCTGTAGTAGCTGCTTCTTCCACCACTATGACCACTAAATATGTTCTTCTTCTACCTCCATATTCAAACTGAAAGGGTTTTAAAATGTATGGATCATGTGTAAGGCTGTGAGATGTCACAGTAGCAATACTGCCTCCATCGAGTCATAAAAAATGTTCCTCATCCTTAACCTGAAAGTTCAGATCGTATTGTTTTAGTTTTTTTTTTAAGATTTATTTATTTATTTTAAGGGGGAGAGAGAGAGAGAGCGAGAGAGAGAGAGAGAGCGTGTGTTTGCATGCAGGCAAGAACGGGGAGAGACGGGGAGAGGGACGGAGAGAGAATCTTAAGTGGATTCTGCACTGAGTGTGGAGACTGATGTGGGGCTTCATCTTAAGATCCTGAGAGCACAACCTGAACTGAAACCAAGAATCTGACACTTCCGTGACTGTGCCGCCCAGGCACCCTTTGTTTTACTTTTAAGATATTTTTACTCAGAAGATGACTATGCCGCTATTCTTTTCCTTTAATATCTTAATTTCTAACATTTCAATACATCTTTCTGTGAGCTCCTACTTATTAGAGAGAGGAGAGGTTTTTAGTTGGCCTTCTTTTCCGCCTCTCATTTCTTTTTTTTCCACCATTTGCTCTTAGAGATTGGGGGCAGGTCACCTTCCCCGGAGCTTGCAAGGGAAACTATCCTCTGTACTTGCCTCACTCTTGAAACTACTTCTTTTCCTTCCCAGTCAGTATTTCATTCTTTCTCTTACTATGTTTCTGAAGTTTATTAAATGAGATTATAAATGTATTTAATGCACATCAAGAAGTGTTAATACATGATAGTTCTGTTATGGTCTAAAAATTGAATTCTGAATGAGTTCTTAATTAAAAGATGCTTAGAAATGAATACACAAGAAAGGTAATCTCTGTTTTCAAAGGTAAGAGAGTTAATAAAACCTGGGTTTTGTTAGGTGTCGTAAAAGTATGGGTGTTGATAATCTGGAACACAGTTCCCATGTTATTAGCAGAACACCATGGAAAATGAGTTCGCTTTTCAGTACCATATTCTCTGAACATTAAGGAGGGAAACTGCTGTTTGTGTAACTCCTTTTTTATGTGGTTCAAGAGTCACTGGGAAAAGATTACCTCTAAGTACAAAGCATAACAGCATTTTTATTGGCCCTGTGATATTTGAATAAATTTCATTTTATGTGTTCCCTTTTCCTTTCCCCTTCACAGGTTTTCATAGTTGATCCTCCTCATGAGACCACAGCAGAGTTGATTAACACAGCTGAGATGTTCCTCAGTAATCATATACCATTAAGGTAACATTGGTATTATTGTATGCTATAAACCTAATTAGCTGAGGTTTTGTTTGTCATTCTTAAGTGCAAGTCTGGTGCTATTAGATAAATAATAGTTGGATCGGGGATCCCTGGGTGGCTCAGCGGTTTAGCACCTGCCTTTGGCCCAGGGTGTGATCCTGGAGACCTGGGATCGAGTCCCGCATCGGGCTTCCTGCACGGAGCCTGCTTCTCCCTCTGCCTGTGTCTCTGCCTCTCTCTCTCTCTGTGTTTATCATGAATAAATAAAAAATCTTAAAAAAAAATAATAAGATAAAATAAATAAATAATAGTTGGATCATTAATGGCAGTTGTATCTTTTGTTTAAGGATGAAGCAGTATCTTTTGATTTAGAAAATTTGATTCTCAATGAATAAAAACTTACCACCACTGAATTATTAATAAATAGCCCATGTAAAAATAGTTAGACCATAGTCTCAGCTTGCTTCCCAGTGGATGGGAATTTTCCTAGGTAAGCGTCAACATCGCAAAGCCTATTTCCCCTTTCAGTGAAGATAAAGAGCTCTGCCAACAGCTTCTTTAGACTGTTAAAGACCAGGTGTACATGCTACTTTTTGTAGATGCAGACACACTTGTTTTATTTGCGTTGCCAAATCTACCAACAGAGTACTTGATTGGCTGGATTTTTCACTGTGCCTTTTAAAAACTGTGTTTTAATGCTTTATGTATGCGTATTAAGATATTTTCATGAATAATGTCAACAGAAAATTTGAATTCTTAGAAAACGTGAAAATAGAGAAGAAGAAAAGGCTAGTCAACAAAGGTTTGTGTGTTCTGTACCCAGCACTGAGCTAAATGCTGTGGATAGTATCTAAGCTGTATTCCTACCTCCTTGGAAAAAATACTGTATGTGATTTCATTCACTTAAAGGTACTTGATCAGGTGCTAGATTATGTCCTAGCTTTATAATTTCAGGGAAACCAAAGATTATAAACGAAGGTTATTTGGGCGAAGACAAAGGTTTTATGGAACAGTTGGATATTAGTTAAGCTTTGAAGAAAATAGAGGGTTTTTATTGATGGAAAAGCAGAGATTTTTTTTTTTTAGTGAAATTTTTCATGTGAAATATGAATATCCCCTGGTTTGATGGAGGACTAAACTACTGTATTGCAGCCAGAGCTCTATTTTGATTAAAAGGGAAATAAAAGAACATCAAAGAAGTTGGCCCACGCTACACAATGGGCACTAAATAAATGTTTATTGAGTTGTATTGAGGGATAAGAAGAGGGAATATAGTTTTCATATTGCAAAATAGGTGAGAAGAGCCTTAACTAATAGGTAGTAGAGAGGTGTGTTGGCATCATTGATGGAGCCCCAAGGCAGACTGGCATCTCCTTTAGTCTTTGTTTCTGTTGCTGTGGTATGCTTTGTTTCTGTTGATATGGGGTTGACGGGCTGAGGAGAGGAGGGGACAAATCCGTGGTACTTGATGAGACTGGGCCTGAAAGAATAAGAAGTCTGAATTTTGAGGCCTACCTAACAGAAAAACTGATGCCCTTTCTAGAAATTAGAAACTTGGAAAGGGGAATTCCTTTGTGAGGAGATGCTTAGCTCTTATTTCTGTTTTCATAAGAGTAACATTTAGGTTATTTGTGCCTGGAGCCTACTCCTATGATTTCTGTTACAAGTGGGATTTTAAAAACCAAACACAATTTTCATCTATAAACAAACCCTCTTGCTACCACCATGTACCTATACATACACTGTACACATATCTCAGGAGAGCATGATGTTGGTTATGTATCTTTTTGTATTTTCTTCTTCTATTTTTAAGCTTTACCTTTTTCTAATTAATAGACTTTGTATTTTTTAGAGCAATGTTAATTACCTGGTATTGATACATTATTAACTAATGTTTGTACCTTACATTAGTGTTCATTGTTTGCATTGTATATTCTGTGGTTTTTGACAGATGTGCAATGACATGTGTCCACCATCACACAATCCTACGGAATAGTTTCACTATCCTCCACATCCCTTGTGCCTCATCTATTTGTCCTTCCCTCTCAACCACTGGCAACCAGTGGTCTCTTTAACTGTCTCCCTTGTTTTGCTGTTTCCAGACAATATGAGTTTTCAGGCTCATGATATTTATATCTTTGTTAGATGGGCTTTTTTTTTTTATTTAGCAGTATGCTTTTAAGGTTTGTGTATGTCTTCTTGTGACTTGATAGACCATTTTATCGCCAAATAATATTCCATTATATAGATGTACTCCAGTGTTTTGTTTTGTTTTTAAATCCAGTCACCTATAGACAGACATCTTGGTTGCTTCCAGGTTTGGGCAATTTATAAAGTTGCTGTAAACATCCATGTATAGGTTTTTGTATGGACATAAGTTTTTAGCTCATTTGGGTATATACCAAGGGGCACAATTGCTTTATCTTACGGTAAAAGGTAATTTTTTTTTTTTTTAAAGATTTTATGTATTTATTTATGAGAGACACAGAAAGAGAGAGGCAGAGACATAGGCAGAGGGAGAAGCAGGTTCCCTGCAGGGAGCCCGATGTGAGACTTGATCTTGAGACTCCAGGACCACACCCTGAACCAAAGGCAGACACTCAACTGCTGGGCCCCCAGGCATCCCAAGTGTTTTGTTTTAAAAGAAAGTACCACACTGTTTTCCAATGTGGTTGGGCTATTTTGCATTCTTGCCAGCAATGAATAAGAGTTCTTGTTGCTCAACATACTCTCTAGAATTTGATGTTGTCAGTGTTTTGGATTTTAGCTATTCTAATAGTTCTGTGGTGAAATCTCATTGTGGTTTTACCTTGAAATTCCCTAATTACATGATTTTGAGCATCTTTTTTTGACAACTCTGCCTTGTTTGCCGAGGTACCAGTTCAGATCTTTTGCCCATCCTAAAATTTTGTTGAGTTTGAAGAGTTTTTTGATATTTTGGGTATCTGCCCAAAATCAGATACGTGTTTCTCACAGGATTTTTGCCAGATATGTGTTTATCAGATATGTGTTTCTCACAGGATTTTTGCCAATCTGTGGCTTGTCTTCATTCCCTTAATGATCTCTTTCACAAAGCAGAAGCCCTAATTTCTTTCCTTTTTTTTTTTTTTAGAAGCCCTAATTTCAATGAAGCTTAGCTCATTTTTTTTTTTTTTGGTCATGGATCATGTTTTTGCTGTTAGATCCAGTAAATCATTGCCCAACCCACGATCACCTAAATTTTCTGTGTTCCTTTTTCTAGGAATTTTATAGTTCTGTGTTTTACATTGATGTTTATGATCCATTTTGAGTTAATTTTTTGTGAGAGATATAAGGTCTCTGCCTAGATTTTTTTTTTTTTTGCATTGTGGTTGTCCAGTTACAACATCATTTGTTAAAAAGACTGTCGTTTATCAATTGAATTGGTTTTGCTTCAGTATGTAGGCTAGTGACTTCTGTATTGGCCAGTGCAAGTTTTGCTTTTTTGTTTGTGTGTGTGCGTGTGTGCATGTTAGTTTGTAGATGTGTAATGGTATGGTATCTTATTGTGGTTCATTCTTTTAATATGTAATAAACATTAATCTTGGTTGTAGCTTTTTGCCAACAGGTAATATAATGATTTTCATGTTTTCCATTTACCTATGATTTTCATCTTGCCTATGTTAAATAACCCCCCTTTTTATATATTTTCACATTCTGAAAATGTTCACTTCCCCTAAGTTTTGTTTAAAAACAAAATCCCCATCTAAAACTATAGTGAAACCCTTCATTTCAGTAAAGGCCTCATTTCACCATGTGGAACCAGTGTGCTTTAAGAGTTGCAAAGTCTAAACCACCTTTGGGAACCTGATTTTCTCTTCCTTGAGTGATGAATGCCTTTGCCAACCGTGTTAGAGTAGGATGTGAACTGTGCTTTTCAGAAGAGGAAGTTTTTAGTAGAGGAAGTTACAATATGTGAGTGGGATACAGGAATGCCATTCCTTTTAACCAGTTGCGTTTTTGAGATAAGTTCTTTTTCTTCTTTTTACCCTTCCCCTTCTCCCTCAGAATTGGTTTAATCTTTGTGGTTAATGACTCTGAAGATGTTGATGGGATGCAAGATGCTGGAGTGGCTATTCTGAGAGCATATAATTATGTTGCTCAAGAAGTGGATGATTATCATGCCTTCCAAACTCTGATACATGTATGTTTTCAATCAAAATGGTGAATAATTTTCTTAATTTAACTTTAAGAAACAGTATGAGTTAAAAGGATTTTATATTTTTATAAAGAGAAAAAGCTTGATAAATTATTCTCTCAACTTTTGTGTTTTATATATAAGGAGTTGCTTTTACTGATTCACTGATGTTAGTAATAGATTGCTGTGATTTCAGCTAAGATAAGATTCCTTAGGAGCCCTACTAATATATTAGTATTCTGCCTTTTGGTTATTTGAAATCACTAATTTTTTTTGGTAAATGTAATGTTATCTTCTTGTTTAAAAAAATGTTTGCTTTTATCCCCTTTAAGGTCTTTATGATATTTTAACTCAATTTAATATTCAAATCATAAATTCTTATTGTCTGTTTTCTCTATATTTTTTGCCTTGGGAACTGAAATGCCCTAAGTTTTTAATATACTTAAGATATTTGTTCAAGTTCAAGCAAGGAAGTCTGGTGTTTTCTTTTTTTCTATTTTTGAATATAAAAAATTTATAAGTAACAGTTGTTTTGCTTACAGATTAATGGTAATTATTAGAAAACCGTCTTTAAAGCAGTTGATTTTCACCACTTTTTAAAAAATTTATAAACATGTCAGCCTGCTGTTTATTATGTTTGTTATGTTTATTGTTTAGAAATTCAGTCTGGGGCTTTTTTTTATTAGTTAAAATGTTCATTTATTTATTTGGCTAACATCTATTAAAGACTTACCATTTGCCAGGCCTGCTACTAGCTGCAAGGAATACAAAGAAGAGTAAAATTTTCCCCCTGTCCTCAAAGACTTTGTAGTCTGGTGGGAGAGATGTCTGTGCAGGTGGTTAATGCAGTGTGGGAACCACAGCCAACTATGGCAACATCAGGACCTCATTCCACTAGGGATGGCATTGTTTTGGAGTGGGAAGTTGTCCCAACTGAGTGTAGGAGGGAAAACAGAAGTCAGTTGAGCAATGGCAACAAATCAGAGGTAGTGATTCCCTGTTGTCCATTTGGCTTGAGCAGAGCTGAGAGGGGAACCTAGTCATTGAGGCCATCAGCCATGCAACGAGTGTCCAGTTTGCAGAAGTTAAACTCCAGTTAAAAACATTCTGATGCATGTATGGAGGCAGATCTAACAGAGAGTATAAAGGTGGTGGCAGTGATAGTTTGTGAGCTCTTGTTGGGATCTCTGTGAGAGAGACCATGGTGAATTGCGGTTAGCAATAGAACTAGGGAGAAAGAAATAAGTTCAGAAGAAGCTGCTGAGGATGTGTTTTAAAGTCTGCTTTTTAAAGTTGGTCCACCACCCTGATAGCTGTGTATATGAAGGAAAGGATAATACGAGTTTTCATTTTTTAAAATCTTTAATTGCAACAAGAAAAAACATTGTATGCAGATTGTAAAATTTTTAAAAATAATATTGAAGTGTATTGATTTAAAATTTCTCATTCTCTGCCTTCCCAAATTCTGCTCCTTAAAGGCAGACACTATTAGAAGGTTGTCTTATGTCCTTCTAGGTGTTTAACTGTATATATACAGAGACAGTTATGTTATTTGGTTTATATCTGCTGTTTTAAAAATAAAGATTTTGCCATACATATAACTTTTTCTCCCCTAAACATCATGGCCATGAGTTTTTTTTTTTTTTTTTTTTTTTAAGATTTTATTTATTTGTTCCTGAGAGATACAGAGAGAGGCAGAGACATAGGCGGAGGGAGAAGCAGGCTTCCTGTGGGGAGCCTGATAAGGGACTTGATCCCAGGACCCGTGGATCACAACCTGAACCAAAGGCAGATGCTCAACCACTGAGCCACCTAGGTGCCTTAAGGCCATGAGTTCTTATTTCAGTGATTATATAAAGGCAGTCAGATTTTAAAAAAATTAACACGTTTTTGCATTTGAGACTTAATATGAGTATGAACTAATTGGGTCGTTTTAAGAATATGTAGTTTCGGGCAGCCCTGGTAGCTTAGCGGTTTAGCGCTGCCTTCAGCCCAGGGCATGATCCTGGAGACCTGGGATCGAGTCCCATGTCAGGCTCCCTGCATGGAGCCTGCTTCTCCCTCTGCCTGTGTCTCTGCCTGTGTCTCTGCCTGTGTCTCTGTCTCTCTCTCTCTCTCTCTGTCTCTAATAAAGTCTTAAAAAAAAAGATTATGTAGTTTCTAATATAAGAAGATACCTTAAGGAAATATATAAAAAAGGGAGAATTGCTAACATGTTCCATTTTACCTTTCAAGAAAAATAGCTGTGTTTTCGCTTTACATTCAGAAATCTTTTGTAATAAACATTCTGAAATTTGGATTTAAAAGTATATTTGGTTACTTGATTTTTCTTTCTTCAGATATATAACAAAGTAAGGACTGGAGAAAAAGTAAAAGTTGAACATGTGGTCAGTGTCCTGGAAAAGAAGTATCCGTATGTTGAAGTGAATAGCATTTTGGGGATTGACTCTGCTTATGACCAGAACCGGAAGGTGAGAAATTCTTTGGCAGTTCTCATTGGACTGCAACGCTATACTTTCCTTACCTCCCCTTTCTAGGGAGTTGTTATTAATAAAGGCAGTGGTAGTTCAAGTATTTAGGTACCTAGCATTTAACTTAGAAACCAGGTTACTTTTCTATGTTTACGAATGCAGTTTATATTTCAATTTTGTGAAGATACCACTGATTTTTGGCTGACATATTAACTGTTAAATTGAAAAACAAATTTTCTTCTTCACAGTGCAGTGGTAGTACTTCTATGATGTATGTTCCACATAAAAGCTATTAGAAGTGTATGATGTATGACTTATATTAATGTATATCATTTATTTAGTTGTGTAGGCTAAAGATAAAAATATATTAGGAAACATAATAAGCAGAATGGGAAAGGGTGGTAATAAGGATATAGGGAAACATTTAAAATTTTTATTTAAAGATAATTTATTTTGTGAAACATTAAATACAGTTAAAAGGAACTTTATCTATTGCAAGCAGGAACAATGTAGTTGGTTTATTGAAAATAAATGTTCAGGCAAAGGATCTAAATACATTTCTGAGACATTTTAATTTAAAATAATAAAAATGTATTTATGAATTCTTTTTTTTACTTTTAAGTGAAGGACATATTTCTTGCTGGTTCAGTCTTGCTATACTGGTTTTAGAAATGTATCCATTTCTTCTTGGTTTTCTAGTTTGTTGGTGTATAAATTCTTCATAGAAGTCTCATGATCCTTTGCATTTCTGTGGTGTCAGTTGTAATGTCTCCTGTTTTATTTCTTTTGTTAAAATTTATTTTTATTTTACATTAGTTTTTATTTAAGTTCGATTTGCTGACATATAGTCTAACACTCAGTGCTCATCCCATCAGGTGCCCTCCTCAGTGCCTGTCACCAAGTTACCCCATTCCCCCCGCCCACCTCCCCTTCCACAACCCTTTGTTTGTTTCTCAGAGTTAGGAGTCTATCACGGTTTGTCTCCCTCTCTAATTTTTCCCACTCAGTTCCCCTCCTTTCCCTTATAATCCCTTTCACTATTTCTTATATTCCACATATGAGTGAAATCATATGATTGTCCTTCTCAGATTGATTTATTGCACTCTGCATATTACCCTCCAGTTCCATCCACATCCAAGCAAATGGTGGGTATTCATTCGTCCTTTCTCATGGCTAATATTCTGTTGTATATATAGACCACATCTTCTTTATCCATTCTTCTGTTGAGGGGCATCATGGCTCTTTCCACAGTTTGTCTATTGTGGACATTGGTGCTATGAACATGGTGCAGGTGTCCCAGCGTTTCACTACAGTATCTTTGGGGTAAATCCCCAGTAGTGCAATTGCTGAGTCATAGGGTAGTTCTATTTTTAACTTCTTGAGGAACCTCTACAGTTTTCCAGAGTGGCTGCACCAGTTCACATTCCCACCAAGAGTGCAAGAGGGTTCCCCCTTGTCCACATCCTCTCCAACATTTGTTGTTTCCTGTCTTGTTAACTTTCGCCATTCTCACTGGTGTGAGGTGGTATTTCATTGTGGTTTTGATTTGTATTTCCCTGATGGCAAGTGATGTGGAGCATTTTATCATGTGCTTGTTGTCCATGTCTATGTCTTCTTTGGTGAAATTTCTATTCATGTCTTTTGCCCATTTCATGATTGGATTGTTTGTTTCTTGGGTGTTGAATTTAATCAGTTCTTTATAGATCTTGGATACTAGCCCTTTATCTGATAGGTCATTTGTAACTATCTTCTCCCATTCTGTAGGTTGTTTTTTTAGTTTGTTGACTGTTTCTTTCTGTGCAGAAGCTTTTTATCCTGATAAATCACAGTAGTTCATTTTTGCCTTCATGGATGTATCTTGAAAGAAGTTGCTGTGGCCAAGTTCAAAAAGGGTGTTGCCTGTGTTCTCCTCTAGGATTTTGATGGATTCCTGTCTCACATTAGAGCTCTCAACCATTTTGAGTTTACCTTTGTGTATGGTGTAAGAGAATGGTCCAGGTTCATTCTTCTGCACGATGGGGGTCCAGTTTTCCCAACACCATTTTACTCTCCTTATCCCAGGGAATAATTGTTCCTGCTTTGTTGAAGATGAGTTGACCATAGAGTTGAGGGCCTATTTCTGGGTTCTCTATTCTGTTCCATTGATCTATGTGTCTGTTTTTGTGCCTGTACCATACTGTCTTGATGATCACAGCTTTGAAATACAGCTTGAAGTCCAGCATTGTGATACCCCCAGCGTTGGTTTTCTTTCTTTCCAGTATTTCCCTGGCTGTTCGGGGTCTTTTCTGATTCCACACAAATCTTAAGATGATTTGCTCCAACTCTCTGAAGAAAGTCCATGGTATTTTGATAGGGATTGCATTGAACATGTAAATTGCCCTGGGTAGCATAGACATTTTCAAAATATTTATTTTTTCCAGTCCATGATCATGGAATATTTTTCCATCTCTTTATTTCTTCGTCAATTTCTTTCAGAAGTGTTCTGTAGTGTTTAGGGTATAGATCCTTGACCTCTTTGGTTAGGTTTATTCCTAGGTATCTTAGGCTTTTGGGTGCAATTGTGAATGGGATTGACTCCTTAATTTCTCTTTCTTCAGTCTCATTGTTTATATAGTAATGCCACTGATTTCTGTGCATTGATTTTGTATTCTGCCACATTGCCGAATTGCTGTATGAATTCTAGCAATCTTGGGGTGGAGACTTTTGGGTTTTCTATATACAGTCTCATGTCATCTGTGAAGAGGGAGAGTTTGACTTTTTCTTTGCCAATTTGAATGCCTTTTATATCTTTTTGTTGTCTGATTGCTGAGGCAGAATCAGACGACGACTACTACTACTACTACTACTTCTTCTTTCTTCTTTCTTTCTTTCTTTCTTTCTTTCTTTCTTTCTTTCTTCTTCTTCTTCTTCTTTCTTCTTCTTCTTCTTCTTCTTCTTCTTCTTCTCTTCTTCTTCTTCGTTCTTCTTCTTCTTCTTCTTTCTTCTTCTTTCTTCTTCTTTCTTCTTCTCTATATTGAATAGCAGTGGTGAGAGTGGACATCCTGTTGTGTTCCTGATCTTAAGAGAAAGGCTCTCAGTGTTCTCTCATTGAGAATGATATTTGCTGTGGGCTCTTCGTAAATGGCTTTTAAGATATAGAGGAATGTTCCTCTATCCCTTTGAAGAGTTTTGATCAGGAATGGATGCTGCATTTTGTCCAATGCTTTCTCTGCATCTATTGACAGGATCATATGGTTCTTGTTTTTTCTCTTGTTGATATGATCAATCACATTGATTGCTTTAGGAGTGTTGAACCAGCCTTGCATCCCGGGGATAAATCCTACTTGGTCATGGTGAAAAATCTTCTTAATGTACTGTTGGATCCTATTGGCTAGTATCTTGGTGAGACTTTTCGCATCTGTGTTCATCAGGGATATTGGTCTATAATTCTCCTTTTTGGTGAGGTCTTTGTCTAGTTTTGGAATTAAGGTGATGTTGTCCTCATAGTACGAGTTTGGAAGTTTTCCATCCCTTTCTATCTTTCAGAACAGCTTTAGTAGGATAGGTATTGTTTCTTCTTTAAACATTTGATAGAATTCCCCTGGAGAGCCATCTGGCCCTGGACTTTTGTGTCTTGGAAGGTTTTTGATGACTGCTTCAGTTTCCTTGTTGGTTATTGGCCTGTTCAAGCTTTCTTTTTCTTCCTGTTCCAGTTTTGGTAATTTGTGGTTTTCCAGAAATGCATCCATTTCTTCTGGGTTGCCTAATTTGGCATATAGCTGCTCATAATACGTTTTAAAAATCATTTGTATATCCTTGTTATTTGTTGTGATCGCTCCTCTTTCATTCATAATTTTATTAATTTGAGTCCTTTTTCTTTTTAAGAAGACTGGTTAGGGGTTTATCTCTCTTATTAATTCTTTCAAAGAACCAAATCCTGGTTTTGTTGATCTGTTCTACAGTTCTTCTGGTCTCTATTTCATTGAATTCTGCTCCAATCTATATTAACTATCTCCTTCTGCTTGGTGTAGGCTTTACGTTGCTGGTCTTTCTCCAGTTCCCTTAGGTGCGAGGTTAGCTTGTGTATTTGAGTTTTTTCCAATGTTTTGAGGGATGCTTGTATTGTGATGTATTTCCCTCTCAGGACTGCTTTTGCTGTATCCCAAAGATTTTGAACAATTGTATCTCCATTCTCATTAGTTTCCATGAATCTTTTTAATTCTCCTCTAATTTCCTGGCTGACCCATTTGTCTTTTGTATGATGCTCTTTAACCTCCCTGTGTTTGAGTTTCTTCCAGATTTCTTCTTGTGATTTAGTTCTAGTTTCAAAGCATTGTGGTCTGAAAATATGCAGGGGACAATCCCAGTCTTTTTGTGTTGGTTGAGACCTGATTTGTGATACGAGACCGTATGTGGTGTAGTCTGGAGAAAGTTCCATGTGAACTTGAGAAGAATGTGTAGTCAGTTACGTTCAGATGGAAAGTTATATATATATATATATATATATATATATATATATATATATCTGTGAAATCTATTTGGTGTAGTATATCAATTAAAGCCCTTGTTTCTTTGATGATGTTCTGCTTATAATATCTGTCATTTGCTGAAAGTGCCGTGTTGAAGTCTACTTCTATTAGTGTATTATTATTTAAGTATGTCTTTACTTTGGTTATTAATTGATTGATATGCTTGGAAGCTCTCACATTAGGGGTATAAATATTCATGATTGTTAGGTCTTCCTTTTGGATAGACCCTTTAAGTCTGATATAGTGTGCTTCTTCATCTCTTATTACAGTGTTTGGTATAAACTTTATCTGATATGAGGATTGCTACCCCAGCTTTCTTTTGAGGACTATTTGAATGGTAAATATTTCTGTACCCCTTCATTTTCAGGCTGTAGGTGTCCTTAGGTCTAACATGAATCTCTTGTAGACAGCAAATAGATGGATCCTGCTTTTCTATCCAGTCTGATACCCTGTGTCTTTTGATGGGATCACGTTCAGAGTAGCTATTGAAAG